CATTCGTTTATTGCATATCCAATACGTCAGGGCAGTAGATGAGAATCGGCCGAAAATATCTTTCTTGACAGATTCAACCGAGATGAAATTAAATGAAAAATAATTTCATATGATGTGATGAAAAAAAAAATATTGTTAACATAAATATGTTTTTAAGGCATTGCAGATAAGTTATAGTGCGATAAATTCACTCGTCACAAGAAATTAAAATATGTAAAAAGAATTTTTTTATCCATGTGTCATGTTAATAAATGTCTTGGGGCACTTGTATTGATTAACCATGTACTTAATTTGAAATAATTCGATTTTCAAGGTATTGATTACACGTAACAAGAAAAGTAGAGAGCGGTTAGTGTATTGAAAGCTACGAAATCTTCTCAATTAGCAATTGACGAGTATCACTCAAGCACTCGCTCACGGGACCATTTCCATTACTTTAAATATAATGAGTATGGTATGGCCGCCGGCCTTTAGATATGGAAGTGAATTCGAACCGTTCAAAATGGGGCGTCCCGGGGTTAGTTCTTGAATTAGGTTCACCGAAAAACTTTTCGAATATACGTGCCTCAATCGAAAGGGAACCCTAAATTATTTAGCAGGAAAAAGAGGGGGGCGCAACAAGTTTGCGAGAGCCTTTGACTTGTCGAGGTGGAGAACAATAAATAGGAGTGTGGTAGCTTGAATGTAATAAACTTTTCAACAGATGCCCTATCAGTGAGGTGTCATGTCACTATTATTACCTCCTCTTCTTCTTCTTGTTCTTTCTCCTTCCAAAATTCCATCCTTCCTTCCTTCCTTCCTTCCTTCCTTCTTCCTCCACCTCATTCGGTGGTGCAATTCAATGAAGGCCAAAAGGGAAGACAAGCAATTAAAGTCACTGCAGGTAATCCTAGTTTTCTGCTTCAGCTGACCGACGTGGGAAGATTCAAAACCCTAGCAGTAGCTACAACTACTATGTTAGTAAAAAAATACAAATTTTATATTCAAAAGCTTCGAATGTATTTGTCCCTCATAAAAAAATGGGGAAAAGAGAAGAGGACCTGACACACACACACACACACAAACAAACACACATTATTTTTACTGAGATTGGCCATGATTTTATCAATGATGGAATTGGACAGCCGAGCACGTTACCTCCCGGAATTGTAGTGAACGTGCCGGTGAAATTCAATTCTATTCCCGTGGTGGTTCATGGTGACAGGAACTTGTGTTTTGTTTGAATTCCATATTTGAAAAAAAAATCAAGCAGAGAAAAAAAGAGTGATTAATGGTAAGAAAAAGGTATATTTGCAAAATTCCTTTCCCGTTCTTTTTGTAAGCTCTTAACTATCTTATCTTTTCCAATATAGAATGAATTAACCATTTCTTGTATTTTCAGATAAATATCGTTTTCATATTGGTTCATGCGGCAACTAATACTAACTTAACTATTTTAAATACTCGATTTCTTCTTGCAGCGTTCAAGATGTGACTATTTTTGTCCTATCACATTTACCCAATTTTTAAATTTTTTCAACTTTACCAATGTTGAACTAAGAAGAAATCGACAGCCAAAATTCAACTAAAACATCGACTTAACATGGTCAATGCCATTGCTCATCTCATAGTTAAAAAGGTGGTACTTACAAGCTTCATTATCACTCCCATTTCTTTTTCTTGGTAGAAGAGTAGGGAATGGAGATTAGCGTACCTATACTCTGTGGGCATTACCATAAGGGACATATCATCATTACGGATTATTTAGTTCGAGTTATGACTACTTAGTGCACTTATAGATATAAGCTCATCACCGCAACCCTTACAAGCGTGCCAGTAGTTTGTAAATTTCTTTACACTATGCAATAGATGCCTAAAGCACAAACTTACTAGAGGTCCGTTTGTAATATGATTCGTGCTTGTGACTCCATATTAAAGATGGTGCGAACGGGCTACCACTCACAAATTCATATCTTATGAAGAACAATGATGCCCCCAAGTAACTTATCCTTCATCGAAAGACTTCAAAACGATATAATTGTTTTATGTGATCAAGATCAAACAAGAAAAGCAACACCCGGACCAATATTTATCTATTGGTCCAAGATGCGAGGGAAAATAGAAGAACACAAGCCGCAATTAATGAGTTCGAAGAATCTTCAGTAGGAATGGGTTGGAGGGAGAGGCGTTTTTCACTGCCTTCTAGGCTTTCTAGCAATTAAGATGTCTGCCTGGGACCTTGCAATTCGGATGAAAGGAAGAAAAGAAAAGGTATAAGCATATTCAATCCTTCTCTCTCTCTCTCTCTCTTCTCTCTCTCTCTCTCTGTTGTCGCGACTCCAATTTTTTTTTTTGAAATTTCTAGATGTGACCCCAAGACTGGGGTTGAACTCGAGGTACATATTCAAGTCCATGCGTATTTAATGCAATTCAGGAAGAAAACAAAAGATTGGCAGAAGAAAGCGGGAGGGGTTTCTTTTGTCTTTGTGATTACTTTATGGTTTGATTCGCTCTAGAATTTTGAAAGAAGAACAAGAACGAAATAAAGAAACGATTCTAGGGTTTCGATAGTCAATGGAGGTGCAGAAGGGAGGAGGGTCATGGGGGGATGAGACAACGATTAGTGAAACGAATATATCGAATGGGAGACAGTGTTTGTTGAAGGATTTAGAAGGGGAATATTTGGGAGAACGATAAGGAATATATTAGAAACTTACGAAGGCATGTGATGGAATTAGGGTTTTCTTTGGGAGCAATGGTCACCATATGAAAGCAAACAAACAAACCTTTAAGCATCTCTCTCTCACTCTCTCATTTAGGTCAATGGGTCCATCGAGAAATCAATATCTGGTGACTATCACACCCAACCCTTTTATTTTTCTGTTCATTTGTCCCCCCAAAAAATATTATGGTACCATCACCAAAGATGTTACACTGTTTGTCCTCATGGTAGCCATGTCAACTCTCCTGAAATGTGTCACGGGGATTCCATATGTCAATGACATATTATTAAGCCAGAATTTAATTGCACCCGTTAACTCTCTTTGTCGCAAAGGGAGGATGAACCTTCCTTATTGTTATTGGAGACCCAATAACCCTAATTTTGACTACTACAATTGAGAGAATAGTGATCAAATGCTCCAAGTTACCTTGATACCATACCTATAATCAGAAAAAAGAAGCATAAAGTGTAATACTACTAGGTATATTAAGTTTATAAATATATATTAGTCATAAATGGATGTACAAATTTGGTATAAAGTATAACGAGTGATGTGTCTTGGCTTTGATTGGGAATACCCTGTTTATTTGAACATCCACTTACAATCTACCATGTTACTAAACACACCAAAACTTTTAGCCCATTCTTACTACAATTAACAGTATTTGCGTCGAAATTTGCACGCTAATTGCTAAGATTTTGTGGTCTATTAAGTAATGTTGCAAACTACAAGCGAGCATTCAAATTAATAAGTGATTGATGTAAATTCAATACTCAATAAAAGTCTAACTTATCACATAGTATACCAATTTTGTTAATTAACTTTAGATAATTAGCATTATTAAAAAGTTGAATACTAAGAGCAAGATGGAATAATTTGAGATGTGACACAAATAAATTAAGTTCCTTTCTTTTAAGATGAAAATTTAATTTAACAGAGAAATGTTTTCTTTACGTGCATATCTAATTATTGATTTTGTTAATGTGCGCTTGTGAAGGTTTGAGCGAAAGAAGAGCCTCAAATAAGATACTTTCTACCTTATGGAGCCGATGATATATTAAGTCGGCTAAAAACTTGGGGCTCAAGTTTTTAGTGAAAGTGGGCTCACCAAAGATGTTAATGAGCTCGGATTTGAGCACTTTTTTTTGGTCTGTCTATTATTATAGGATTGGATTTCCATTGCGTGTCTCGAAAATTAGTACAAAACCAATAGTTAATTGCATGAGTCCCATTGTGTTGTTATTTAATGAAAATCTCAAGGGTAGAATCTTGCGCATCATTATTAATAGATTAGCATCATGGATTCGAGGGAAGAGACCACGAGTGAAGGCGGGTATTGTAGTCATTCTTTTTTTTTTTCTTCAAAATCTCGCACTACGAATTGAATAAGTTTTCAAAATGGATAACCGGTTGAACCGATTTAAAGCTGCCAAAACCCAATGAGAACTAAACTAGTCACCGATTGAATTAGCAGGTCCCCTCTGATTTTCAAGATGCTCAACGCATCCCTGGGTTTAGTGTGCCATCACACAAGCCAATCCAGGGTGATTATATAGGTGTAGCAGTCGGCAAGAATCGATCTTGCACTGCGCAACAATGAGAATCCAATCGGTAGTTGAGTTATAACTCAATTGTGTGAGCTTTTTTGGTGAAGACAATTCTATTAAGATATGTTAATATACTTGTACTTGAGCTCTAATCTCGTAATCTCCCCATGACAAAGTCATATTAGCGATCTTATATATGTGATGGTGCGACCCAAATTAAGTCGCATATTATAGGGTAGATGGTCCATTCTTTTTTGGGTATTTTCAAAGGGGCTGATCTACCATCCTAAAAACTTCGTACCCTGGTGCAATTTATCGCACTTTAAACGCAAGAAATGTTGTACCACCAAATACTTCAGAGGTTATCAAAGAACGATCTACACCCATCTTTTGTGATCCGACAATCACCGATCTCCGACGGTCGTGTTCTTGGGGTTCTTATATAAAAATGCCCCTTCTGTATATACAATACCATGTGAAAGATCTATGTGAGGTCGGAGAATTCGCTATTTTACTTTCAATCCGTCTTCTCCGGAGACGGAGGGATACCAAGTTGCCTGACTTTATATGCTGTTTTGACTATTGCACAGAGAGAGAGAGAGAGAGAGAGAGAGAGAGAGAGAGAGAGAGAGAGAGAGAGAGGGCCAAGCTTCCTTTGTTGCAGTGTCGTTTTCTTATATATACTCTCGAGGCAGCAGAACGCAACACCCCCTTCAAATCCTCCCTCTTTTCCAATCCTTTCCGAGTATTTCCCATCTCTCTCTCTCTCTCTGTCTCTCTCTCTCTCTCTCAAGAAAAGTCTTTCTTTTTCATTTAGCTCTCTTTTGGACCTCACTCTTGCTCTCTCTCTCTCTCTCTCTTTCACAGCTATAACCTTTTCAAGCTCATCATACACCATCTCTTTCCAGTAATCTGCAACTCTCTCTCAACCCACCACCCACAAAAAGGAAAAATAAACATCACTGTTCTTATATTCCCAAGAAGTAGAGAAACCCGAAAAAAAGAAAGAAAAGAAACCCAGGTTTTCAAAATTAAAGGCACTAAACAACATCCTCTCCTTTTTCTACCCCTAGTTTTCAGCTGTGTGGGAGAGCACAAAGTGACCCATATCTGTTTTTCTTCAGAAGACCAGAAGAAAGCTAAGAAAAATTCCTAGCTCATACTTTTGATCTCTGGGTGAGCTCTAAGTTGGTGTCCAGATGGAAGAAAAGAACTACTTCCCTGATCTTTCCCTCCACATAAGCCCTCCGAACAGCGCCCCTTCCTCGATCTGCGGCGGTGGGAACAACGAGGGGGACTCGAACTCGAGCTTCAACATTTGGCGGAGAGGCAGCGAGGATGACGACGACTATCATTATGCCCTAAAGTCCCACAGTGACAGTTCCGTTCTCAAGGCTGATGTTGCTGCGGACATCCGACTCTCCCTATCGAATTTCCCGGCCACTGCTGAGGCCACGAACAACCCCTTAGAGGCTGAGAGCCCGTGGCGGAGGAGCATCGGCCATGCACACAATGGAGATCATCAAGTAGAGGATTATTTCAAGAGGAGGCATGTAATTGGCCATGGAAGTCTCAGCCACATAAGCAGCGGGATGTCGCTGCTCGGTGTCTCGGACAAGCTTCGACCGATCAAGGGCATTCCAGTGTACAACACTGGCGCTTGTAACAATTCTTTCCCGTTTCCTCCGCAGGCAGATCGCGATTTCCCCAGAGATGTGATGACAACGAGGGACAATAATCCGAAGTTATGTTACAATTTCCCTAGGCCGAGCAACGACATGATGAACATGAACAACAGTTCTAGTAGTCCGAGCAATTATTTTGAGCCCATGTACGTGTTGAATTCCGGCGGTGGAGGTGGTTCGAGATTCAACGGTATAACGATGGATAATCTGAATCACAATTTCAAGTCAAGGCAGATGATGATGATGCAGTACCTACATCACCACCACCAGTATGGATCGCCAGGCGAATCGAACGGGTTGGTCTCGAGATACAGGTTCGTGCCCAAGTTGCAGAGCAACAAGAGGAACATGAGGGCTCCGAGGATGCGTTGGACTAGCTCTCTCCATGCCCGCTTTGTTCATTCCGTTGAGCTTCTTGGTGGCCATGAAAGTAAACTCTCTCTCTCTCTCTCTCTCTCTCTCTCTCTCATGCTTAATCTTCTTCTTTCTCCTGAGGCTGTTTGATTGAAAGACAAGTTTCATGAGCATAATTTTGTTTGGTATGTTCTGCTTGGTGTTAATTTTTCATTTTCTAGGGGCTACACCAAAATCAGTGTTGGAGCTGATGGATGTGAAGGACCTAACACTGGCTCATGTGAAGAGCCACTTACAGGTATTATATATTGCTGCATTTCTTCAGCACTCCCATAGCCACATTCATCTGCTGAGATATTTTTAATTCCTTGAAGAAAATTAGCAGAATGATAGGGTGATGTTGAAGAAGAGATCAAAGCATCAAACAACAATTCAGAATTACTTTTGCTCCCCTAAAAAAGAAGCATAAAGAACCCAAAAATATCGGTTACTCACTCATTCACTCTCTCTCTCTCTCTCTCTCTCTCTCTCTGAGTGTTTCTAAAGACTGCATCTCTCCGACTGGCACGGGAGTCGATGAACGTGCAGTGAATGAACAGTTGGGAGTCCCTCTCTCCTTCTCTCTGTTCTTTCTGATACACAGGACAGAAACTGCTTTTTAGAGAGAGAGAAGAAAAAGTAGCCATCATTTCTCAATAATACAAGCAATTACTGACCTTACCAAACATCAACCTCGGGGTTAATAAACAAACCCAAGAAAAATCCAGAAAGAAGAAGCATCTGATTTGATTTTCCTGGACTAGGAGTGGGGGTTTCTTTTAATGTTATTTCTATATAGCTCCCTTCTTTTAAGAAAGGAAAAAAATAATAAAAGGTAGACTTTTTTTCATTATCTTTTGCTCTATTCTTGGTCAATTTCTTTTGCTTTTATTCATCCTCTATTCATTTCCTTTGTCTTGTTTTGCTCCTTTCAGATGTATAGGACTGTTAAGAATACTGACAAAGCAGCTGCTTCCTCAGGTAAACATTAATTAATATGTTACCTTGTCTTAAGCTACTGTATAGATTTAATTAACTAATTAATTAATTAATTTAATGGCTACTTTATTTGTTTCGTTTATCATCAATCTTTTGAAAAGTTTAGGAGACTCTCTCTCTCTCTCTCTCTCTCTCTCATATTTTACTCACATGCATTTTCACCCCCAAGATCATGTATGTTCAAACATGCCAACATGCAACATGCCCAAGCACTTTCTTATATGCCCTAACCTCTATTCTCGTGTTCCTCCTTTTTTTTCTTTAATTTTTTGAGTGAAAATCAGATGGATCTGGTGATGAAGACTTTTTGCCCCCGTTAAAAACATTCCATCAAAATGGAAACCAGAGAGCTGATGGTTCTAATTTAAGAGCTTCAACTAGACATAACATGTGGACTAACTGTTCAAGGTAATGGAAAACTACCATACTGTATTTCTCTCTTTTTTCTTTTTGGGTAATGAAATCATCATATTTTCTGTATTTGTATCTCCGCATTCGATACTTCTGATGTGAAATAAATCAACTCAACACCCTTATCTGAAGTTTCTTTTTCTTTTCTCTTTTTTGATTGGATGAAATGTCTTTTCTTTAACTTGAAAGTGCTGACACAGCTTTTGTTTTTGGCTTTTCACTTAGCTTTCCTTTTTTCCACTCTTTCTTGTTCTAATCTATATGGAGTTGTGCTCGGAACTAAAGGAACTTTGTTAAATCATACATGAATAATAATAAAAACATAATGCATGCAGTTGAAGAAAAGCATATCCATCATAGTTTGACAAACGTTTTGGATTTTCTCTTCATTCTCCTGCAATGCAATCTAAAGTGAGGATAGAGCTGCAATATAGTCTTTAGTTAATTCCCATCATCTGAAAAACTGCAGCGATCCTTAATGCTGAAGGATACTAAAATGTTCTGGTGTTTAAAGAGTTCATATTGCCATACACAATTTGTTATTCGGCCTCATTGTGGTCCATTCTTACCATCGGGCATTTTCTCAGACTTTCTAGTAGTTATTCCTCATTTATCTTTCAATATCTAATTCTAGTATGCATCATCATAACTTTCAAGATGATACAATATGTCTAGAAATATGGACTGAGAGTAGATCGAACCAACTCAACTTATGCTCATGATTGACAAAGAGGAGATACAGAAGCTACATGATGATTTGCAATTCAACCAGGCACTACTGCTTAACGCCAACACAATTATACACAGATGAAAAATGGACCGATTTTTGCCTGTCACTTCTCTCTTGAAATCTCAAAATATTTTAGAAGATATAGTAACTGCCTGTTTCTCCCTTAACTTTGGCTTTAGATAACACGCCCCTACTGGCACTGTTGACTTGGATTCGTGCAGAGTTCCTTCTCTTCCCGTTACCACACCATTGCCAAGAGATTTTTCAACTAGATGATATACTTTATAATGTATCCAACTTAAGCCAAAATGAAGAGTCAATAGGCATTATTAAAGTAGTGGGACTGTATATGATTAGTGTAACTGGTGTGAATGCAATATGGTCATCGTTTTGTTTTCTCCTTTTCATGGAACCATTTAGCAATTCACATCGACACACTCCTAGATCTGTAGTCTTGGATTCCCCTATCGTTCAGAGAACAAGTTCTTGAACCTTCAAGTCAACTGTTCTCTGGTCCAAAATCATCCTCAATAATATAATGTCCGAGGACACATGCATGGACCAGCACCCTGAAAGCACGCAAAAGCTGAATATTTTTCTAGGGACATTTAGCAACTAGTCAATTCATTCTCATTACAACTTATACATTAGTCAATGGAGCTATTCCTAAGTCAATTACGAAATCTGATTATGTAAATCACCTTTTGCTTTTAAATAAAATTATTTGGGAATCTTTTGAAACTTGGAGGTGTTAGCTGATTATGATATTCATTAGTTTCTGAAGTAAGTTGTTCCGTCACCTTGTGCAACTTCTCTAGTCTTTTCAAAACGAGATTTGAAAGTCCGGAGTCTATCACAAAGACATAAGAGTTCTAAATTGTTTCTCAAGATGTATATATCTTTGTAATCCCATCATCTTACAAAAATTCAAAGGAAAAAAAAAACTTTGGCGTTTGTTTTTAATGTACCTTTTACTTATAATTTGTTTATGTGTAGTATATAATTATCGCTCGTTTATGGGATGTCGGGACTAGGATATAACAAGAAGAAAGTTGCTATGCATACGTTAGATCATAATTACCATAGATAAAAAAAAACATGGGTGCCTTTGATTTTATCTAGTCTCAAAGATTACTTTTGGCTAATGATATTTTGAGGTCCATAAACTTGGTTTGATTGTAGTTAAGGTAGTTTAATTATATGCGTGAAAAAATTTATTTAGAATCAAGAAATATAACCGACGGTGCTTTTTTCGAACAATGTTTTTTGCAGTAAAGGAGAGTGGCCACACAGCACCAATTCTAGAGATGTGGATGGGACAAAAAGTCCAGAAACCATTTCATCTCAACATAACTCTGAGGTTAGAATCTCGGACCCTCAAATTTATATGTATAAATACATAGTTATAGACACTTATATATGTCGATCATGTGCATAAATCAATGATGTAAGTTTACATCATTATATAGTCTCCTGTTATCAGATAAGAAAAGACAACCGTGTATAGAGAAAGGAAAATTATGGAGTGACCTTAATCTTTGGCTGACATGCATGATAGACATATAGAGTCAAATAATAGCGCAACGAAATATATGTTTTATTTGTCTTCTCTATGCAAAGTAGGTTAATTACATTATCGCATGATCTCTGATTATCTTAACATATAAGGATGTGTTTAGACAGGTAAATTTCCATTTGCAATCGACCACTTGTATAAAGAAACCAGGTGAGGCGATAATTCTCTGGATTCGTGATTGACAAAATCAAAATCAATATATGTATGCGTAGGCAAATTAGCTACTCCCAAATGTAAGTCGCAAAGTTGATCTTTTTCTGTATAACTTTCGACAGTTAACGGTAAGGAACTCTAGCTATGAAAATAAATTTCTCAAAATACTCACATTAGTTAATAATGAAAGTTCATATAATACAACGGCGACACGAGAGCGAGATTTGAGTTGCCGTTGCAAAATTTTAAGTTAAAAAAAATGAAAAGTCTAGACAAACCCTATTCAGTCTAAGTAAGAACAAGGAACACTTAAACTGACTAAGATTAGGAAAGTCTATATTACAACTAACAAACAGATGAACAAATCAGTTTATACAAGAAGGCGAGTTTTCCTTCTGTCCCTCTTTCGAACTCTGGATCCGTAGACAATGCCAAGGTATTCGACACACTCATGAGACACTATACGGAACCTTTGTCAATACATATACTCATGATATATAACTAGATGCTCTTGCGAAAAGCTCACTCTTAAACATAATATACTGTATTAATAACATCTTAATGTATTTGAGGATAGATCAGTACGCAAAAGAGCTATACATACCTAATGCATTTAAGCACCGGTATGTAGGTTCTTTTATGATCTTGTTGAGATGAAGATGTCACCAATGCATTTGTTTCGCTGATGCGACAGAGGTTTTGCGACAGTCACTTCCACACTAGGCACGAGGATGCAACTCATCGCCGGATTATATGATACAAATTTCAAATCGTGTTTGAGCCGGAAAAAGGCCGGATTATTTTCCGTTCCGCAAAGCATGCGAGTCTGCCTTGAACGTCTAAATGAGTCAACTTGTGTATTATGTGTACCTTTTGGTTGTAACTCGGTTTGTAAACAAATTCGACATAAGTTAAGTATACAAAATTGTGAGCTTATGTTATTCTATAGTTTGGCTAATCCATTTAAACACAGCCATTGAAATTAAATCTTCTCATGACATGACATAGTTTTCCATATATATACGCAGGTGGAGTATATGGGTCAGCAGAGAGATTGTGCGAGATCAAGCCTGAATATGAATACTCCAAGCTTGGAGTTCTGCCTAGGGAGATCCGATTGGCGTGGCAATGTATATGACTCCTAATTAGACGCATCAAAAAATGTTTTTTAATGCATATAAATGGGAAATATTATAGAGCACATTAATTATCGATATAGTTTTGATTTAACAAAGTCATTTTTTTTCCGCAACCCGTGCATCTGCTCTCCTAGCTTTTTTGTTTTCCCGGCTTCCCTCTTTTCTAGCAAACTAAGGTTGCTTTATTTTGGAATTAGGGTTTTGATGGTTCGCGTCCAGTTGAATAAGGCAAAACTAGATGACAAGGATAATATCAATTCCCACACGTTGGTAATTGAGTTGTTCCAATTGGGGTTTTGCTTTTCATCGTTTTTTTGATCGATTTATGAAGACATCCTGTTTTGTTTGATTCTCTCGGATGGGCAATTTGAGGTGAACCCAGTACGATAAAGCTTGTCTTTATGAACGAATTGTTTGGTGTTAGTTGTCCTTGTGTACCCAATTACATGCGCGACCGTTTACTCCGAAAACTTAAGCTGTTATAATACGGTGCGGAATGAACTTTATATCGTAACATACCCAGAGAAGAAGCTCAAGAAGTGGCTAAGATTATCGTCGAATGATCGAAATAATTTCTTCAATTCCAAAGCATTCACTTGGTCCATAGTTGAAGCAGATGTCCATGTGCAAGATAGAGATGGTACTATCTCCGTTGATTCTCGTTACAATTATGAAGTAGCCCCTAATTAAATAGAAAATGCTGGGAAAAGCACCAAAAAAGACATAAATCTATCGCATTGGTACCAATTCGTTCTAAAACATTTTGATTAGACTAATTTAGTCTTAAACATTTTGATGATTTGCCAATTAATGTAATCCAACCGGCCAATTTTGGAGGAAAATTGCTAACATGAACACCGATCGTCCTGCGTGGCGTGGTCAGCACTGATGTTGTTAATTTTTTAATTTTTCCGAAGTTTTTATTGCCTTTATGGTTTTTTTTCCTTGTTCTTTTCTTTCCTTCGTTTTTTTTTCCCATCTGTGGGTCGACAACAGCAGACCATCGTTGGCCACAGGCGAGGCCTAGCGGCCGTTTCTTGGTCTAGGTGAGGACGTTGCAGCCTTGACTGGCCATGGACAAAGGTTGTGATGCCCTCGCTAGCCATAGGGGAGGGCCGTGAGCCCCTTGCCTGTGGCCAGCGGCGTCATTGCCCTTGTCTATGGTTGACGAGGGCCTCAACGCCCTCGCCCAGACCAAGCGAGGATCGCTGGCCCTCATCGGCCAGAGTTCTAAAAAAAACAAAGAAAGGAAAAAAAGAAAAAAAATCAAAAAATTCAGAAAGAATATAAAAACTGTGACTTTTGTCCACGTCAGCATTGATCATATTACGTAAAATGGATAACGTCCATGTCAATGATTTCCACCCAAAATTGGTTAGATGAGTTACATTCACAAATCCTCAAAAGAATTTAGGATTACATCAGTCAAATTGAAAAATTTAGGATTGAATTTGTACCATTGTAATAGATTTAGAACTTTTTTGGTACTTTTTCCCGAAATTGTCCGACAAACAAGAATTGGACCTTTTGGCATCATGTCTTCGATTGAATATCATGAACTGTTTTCAATGTTGTGCATTCGTTAAAGCTCGAAAAATTTTGAGGACATATTAGTAGCGTTGGTCTAAATTATACACAGAACTAAGATTTAATCTAGAATCACATGAAGTGATGATTATAGCGAAGTCGATATTAGGATGCGTTTGGCAACCATTCTGTTCCCGGAAACTGATTCTGCTCATAAATAATTCTTTTTGATGCCGTGCCCGGGAACAATTTCTAAGCATTTGAAGGCGTTTGGTAACTACCCAAAATTTCTATTCTTGGAATAGAAAAAGAACAAAAATGGGTTTGGTAACCGCACAATTTTTTTTTTTTATTAATAATATTTTGAATTTTTTAATATTTCTTTCTTTTTTTCTTTTTTTTTTCTTCCCCTTCCCCTTCCTTGGCCATGGCCAGATCTTCGGTGATCGGCCATAGGCCAGGGTCGGTGAGGGCGTCATAGCCCTCGCTGTCGCCCTAGCCGCCACTCTCGCCGGCCCTGGCCTGTGGCCGGTCGCCGGTGATTGGCCACAGGCCAAGAAGATGAAGAAGAAGAAAAAAAAAAATTATTTTCCATTTATGATTCTTGTTTCCAGAATCAAGAAACAACTTTTTTTTGCTTCTTGATTCTGTTCCAAAACTGATTCTGGGAACAAAAATATAGAAATAGTTATTGTTTGGCCGGTTGCCAAACACGCCGTTAGTCCCAATTCAAGTGTCTTTTGTGCATAATTGATAATGCCGTCGATTTGCTCATAATGGAGACAAGAGAAACAGATATAAATCGATTGTTGTCGAGCCTAATTATAAGTCAAGTTCGAGTGACTTCACTTCGTGAAACTTATGCATTTAGTCTGCGTTGCCGCGTTTGAATAATGTGAGTTTCGTTTCTTATCCACGTCTTCTAATTTGACCTGTGCGCTTCTTAATCTCCCTCAGCCGTTTTTTTGACCTTTCTTGAGATTGCTTGTCTTCTGCCTGTGCCTTCGTGTCATCGTTATCCTTACACACGAATGAAAGTCCTCCAAGATCTCCGGAAAAGTTTACTTGTCAATATCGTTTTCGCAATAATCGCAGCATGATTATATGTGTCGCCATAAATCGGAATGTCGATTATCATGCTCGCGTGTTCTCTAGAGGCCATCTCTAAAGGCACGTGCTTATGTGTATTCATCTCCGCATCAATCCACGAGCGTGTCTATATTATTAAGAGAAAATGACGTGAATGGTCCATGAATTGTGGTTTAATGTGCAATATCGTCCTTAAACTTTTAATTCGTTCAATGCAGTCCCTAAACTTTTGGTATATGAATAATATTCGGATGAACAATATCATATGAGCATGATAAAAAAAAATCAAGTTTTAAGGTAAAAAGAAAAAAATCGAATAGTCCATAACACTATATTAAAGTTTGTTTGTTTTTTTTCTTTCCGACGGTATTTTTAAAATGGAGAAAAAATTATTCGCACCCTCTTTCTAAGGAGAGGTCGGGTCCTCCTTGGATCTTTATTTTATTAATATACATCATATTTTTTCTTTGGAATAAAAACGACAGATTACGTATATATTAAAATAATTATGCGACATTCATTTTGTATCGTACGTCTATTTGTGTATGGGTTCTCGGTAAATACACGGTACTTTATTCTATTACACGGGCGAGGAGCAATCGAAAAGGTCTTACCTAATATGGTATCGATATCTCCTGGAATCCTAAACTAAATAGGATGTTACCAATATAATCGTGGCAATCTATGCATGTGTCACGGTCAAGAGGTTTTCTAACACCAAGGACCGTGACACATCGACGAAGACCCGTCCAAAACCCAATGGAGCTTTCGGAATTTTCCTAAGGACGGGCGAGACGGTAATTGTGCCGAGGTTCGAGAGAGTTCTCGGCATAAATGCCGATAGTTGATAGCTCTCGGAATAAATGTCGGTAGGTGGTCGACGAGAATGATATGATCTCGGCCACTCGTCTAGAAATCGATCAATGGTTATAATCCGAGGCCCTCTACTATATAAAGGGGTGTCCTGCTCCTCATTTGAAGTATCCAAACAACAAGAAGTATTTCCTTTCTCTCCCAGAGCTTCTCTCTAGGTTCTCTCTACGATTCGAGTGTCCGAGCGAGTGAGTGATCGGGAAAAGGCTTGGCTAGGCATTCCAACGATCCAAGGAAGCCAAGTCGCCGCATAAGTCGTTCCCAAACTATCGCCCGTGACACATGTCTCTAGGCAGGATGTGAATTTATCGCGGGAAAGCGAGCAAATCGCACTTTATGAGAAAGATAATCATGCAAAGAACTGAAGTTTTCAAGTAAACGCTATTCCGTTCATTAATTTAATTATTAGCTTAAGATATCGTAACACAGAAGGACGAGGAGGAGGAGGAGGAGGAGGTGGGGGTAAACGACGAAGGGAGAAACGGTGGGGGGTGCGAGCTTCGACGTCGTTTTCGAGTTTCGAAACGCGCGGCTATTCCAGAGGGGGCCCACCAACAAGGCGGAATTTTCCCGCCAAAATGATGGGAGGGCTTTTCGCGAATCGCGTAACGAAGGGCGGGGAAATGGATTTTCCCCGTTCGTCATCATCCCGAGAGAGAGATGAGCGCGGCGGCGATGAAGAAGGAGGAGGAGGTGCGGAGGAAGATGTAAGGCGAGAGGGGGGCTACGCTCCTCGGGATGGATGGATGCCCCTCGACGCCGAGCTCGGCCACGAATCCCGTAAATCTCTCGCCGCTCCCGTTTTCTCTTCGCGGGTAAAAAAAAAGTTTTGCTGGATCGATCTATCGAGGTGCTTCCATTGCTGTTTTGGTGCGTGCGTGGTGCTGTCGGCAGTGAAGTCTTCGATCATCGACGGAGATCCGGTGTATCGGGCGGTGTGCCTCTTTGCCGGGAGCGGAAGCCGCGGGCGGGCGGAGGAAAGCCCTAACGCGGCGGCCGCTTCCGAGTGGTCGGGGATCTGCGCCTCGCGCGTGATCGACGCCTTCTCGGTTCCCAAGTTTCATCACGATCCGGTCGAGAAGATCCTTTACGAGTACTCCTCCTTCGCTTTCATCTCTTCATGTCCTCTATTTCGGCTCCCTCATATGATGTGGCTTCGGCATTTTTACAAAATCGGAGGCGCTTGGAATCGATTGTAGCTCTCTGAAGGGGTTGGAAGTATCTTCCGAACTCGGGTGCTTTGAGTCCTCATACGGGTGCCTAATGGTCAAATCTTCGTTTCCTGCGTACGTTTTTCTTTCTCTCTCTTTTTTTTTTTTCCTATTGGAGTCACTAAAGGACTCTGAATTTGATTCTTGATGCAAAGTATGATTTCTAAAATCCCCTTTTGAGATAATCGGTTCCCGGTTCCCTTTTCGCGCTTTTTGTACGGGGAAGACAATTCTGAATGGGTAATTTAGTTCGTCGGATTTAGGAACGGGAGACTCCTTGTAGCAGCTATAAGTTTCTCTCAGCCAAATGAGGGCATTTTGATAAATGTGGTGCTTATTTGAAGTTTTTTACACTGGTAGGCACACTGGAAGCCTGCCCATTCGCGGTGAGGCCTCCACAAAAGCGATGCTGCATGAGGATAGGTTTCTGCTGCTGCTGCAGCATCGGAGACTCTCTCGTGATCAGCATTTCGCGAAGCCTGCATTCGAAACTGAAACGACCGAGTTTCGAAGTTGCGAGGTACGTCCACGGTTGTCCCAGCCGTACCTAATGCTGTCAGTGTACCGTTAGTCCTTAGCAGCCCAAGCACCTGCCGAATGTGGGTATGCCGACTGACTTTAAGGAAAAAAGCAGTAAACCTTTTATCATTGGAACTGACTCCAGTTCTGTCACATCTGTGAATAATTTTGAGAGACATCTCCAATCCAATCTCTTGTCGGGCAAACTGGACGGAGATGTGTAATGGGTGTGATTTCTCAGTTGGCGGATGGCCATTTCTACTTGGAAGACCTCACTGCTTCTGTAGAGATCAATTTGTCCAATGCAATATCCTTTTCAGATAATTTTCTCCTGTTTTGTGTAAATCCACCGACTCAAGAAAACTGACTGGGTTAAAAATTTCTGTGGTCACTTGCTACTTGTTGAAATGAAAGAATTGGGAGTATTTTAATTTGTAAGATATGTTCTCTACATAGGTTGCTGGAGCAGCCGCCGCTGCTGGTCTGTCTCTTGCTGATGTTGCTGCAGAAGCTAAATGTGCATCTGAAGTGATGGGAACAATGGGCGTTGCATTATCAGTTTGCACACTTCCAGGTCAGGTTACGTCAGACCGTTTGGGCCCAGAAAAGATGGAAGTTGGTGTGGGGATTGTAAGTAACACAGTGCCAATCTTAATGCATCTGGCTTTGCCAGTGCTCATACATTGTTTCATTTTAAATCTTTTTCATAATTATTAAATATGTACTTATTTCAGCGTGGAGAACCGGGCGCTGCTGTGGTTGACCTTCAGCAAGTGAATGCTATAATTACTCGTGTGCTGAATCAGATATTATCTACGGTATGCCCTGATCCTTGTCCAATCACGATTACTGTTGGTAGTTCTTTGTATACTGAATTTCTTCATAGATTAAGTTGTTTCTCCTCGTAATGCAGTCAAAATGGCAATGTGCATGTGTTCTGTCCTACCTTGAAATCCTGGGAAAATTGTTAGAGGTCTAGTATATGATGCTGAATAAGATCTAGCTTTTTATCCTAGAATTTTTTCCAACTATTTTGACTTTAATGTATCAATGCACGTATATTGCTCTTATGCAGCATGTTGAGGTAGAAAGTTTATGGCTGCTTGACATATTTGCAGGAAACTGGCTATGTTCCTATCACACGAGGTGATAGAGTGGTACTCATGGTCAATGGGTAAGTCCATGAATTTCTCTTTTCTTCTGTGACTTATATTGAATCTGTTGTGGGTCAATACAAGATAGAAGACCGATTAGACAGGATGTCAACTTTAGAAGGCAGCTTAGGTGGAAAGTTGCGGATATGGATACTGATACGTGTTGATCATGAGAAATTGTTAAGGAGATAGGGAATTGTCTTCTGAATTGAAGAGAATATGAAACAAAATGTTGCTTCTGTTGCTTTGGACGAATTTCTGAGGATAAGGAAACTTTCTTATGCTTTGAAGCTGGGGACAAAGGTGCTGCTTCTAGTGAATTCGATTACTTAAGAAAAATTCCCGTGAAATCTTTAACCTGGCTATTGAATCTTTTTCCGTCCATCATGGTGCATAGAAAGGTAGGCTGATCTTAGGCTAATGTAACTTGTACCTCTTGTTAATGCTTTAGGATGTGGGACACGTGATGCAATGTAACCTGACGGCAGGGTTTATATCTAGGAAGGTGCATCCATTGAAGAGTTTGGACTCGGTGGTTGTATTGGTAATTGGATAAAGTAATAACTAAAAAGAGCAGTATATTTTGTGCATTTTAGTATGAAGTCTTATGAGAGAAATATCCCAAATTAATGCCACGACATGCCATTATGCATCATGCCTTAATTGGTGAACCTAACAGAACTAGATAACAATGCTTAGTGACAAAAGAGGGAACGGGCAGGAAAGGATGGATGGTCGCACCCTAACCAGTTTCTGGAAGCTACTTTCTGGTAGCTTTTGAGCTAAACCTGATTTATTTGCTTAATCTTTCACAATAAACCATGCAGGTTAGGTGCTACCCCTGTGATGGAGATAATGATTGCTGCAGGAAAAGCAGTTCCTAAACTGCAGCTGGAACACGGACTGGCTGTTGATAGAGTATATACTGGATCTTTTATGACTTCTCTTGACATGGCAGGTTTGTGTTTTGGTATTCTGACAAAAAGTTTCTTCTATGCTACATACAATTTATTATCATCTCTTTTTTTCTTTCAGGTTTCTCCATCACAATAATGAAGTCTGATAAATCAATTCTGCAACGTCTGGATGCTGTTACTAAGGCTCCCAATTGGGCCTGTTGCTGTTGATGGTCAATGGTCAGTATTTTGCAGCCAATCGCCCTCCTTCAAAAATCGCAATGCCTTCAACGAAGAGTGAGGAGGTGAGTGCAAAGTAATTTGCAAGCCTTGTGTCCATGATTTGCAAGACTTGTGTCCATGCTTGAAATACTTTCATTACTGGGGTTAAGTCTTGGCTTTCCGGACTTCAGATCCTTAGTGGGCTTGTTCCACTTTGTGAAACTTAAACTTGCCATTAGATGTTGCTGGATAATTTAGGAGATTTCTTTGATTCTCTATCAGGACCTAAACTCAGGAACATGCACTCATCACTTGTACGTTATAAAAATAGTTCTTTTCAATACACTCACTCCTCTCTCAATCCGTCTCTCTTGAAAATATTTTTCAGCCCTTCCATGAGGAAGTAGAATTTGAGAACTGGGGTAATGCACGTTTCTTCTTTATTTTTTCATTGGCTTCAATTGTTTTCTTCTGTTATGGAGAGTTTTAATTGTAAACTTTTTGTATTGCAACAGTGGTCGGGGACTCGCAGAGACAAGGGTGAACTTCCTCCTTGACTTATTGTCCTTGGAGGAAGATGAAATGACGACATCTACGGTATGCGCTCAAACATTCCGGAAGGCCAAGACTTAACCCCAGTAATGAAAGTATTTCAAGCATGGACACAAGTCTTGCAAATCATGGACACAAGGCTTGCAAATTACTTTGCACTCACCTCCTCACTCTTTGTTGAAGGCATTGCGATTTTTGCAGGAGGGCAATTGGCTGCAAAATACTGACCATCAACAGCAACAGGCCCAATTGGGAGCCTCAGTAACAGCATCCAGACGTTGCAGAATTGATTCATCAGACTTCATTATTGTGATGGAGAAACCTGAAAAAAAAAAGAGATGATAATAAATTGTATGTAGCATAGAAGAAACTTTTTGTTAAGTAATTGAATAGCCAGGTTAAAGATTTCACGGGAATTTTTCTTAAGTAATTGAATTCACTAGAAGCAGCACCTTTGTCCCCAGCTTCAAAGCATAAGAAAGTTTCCTTATCCTCAGAAATTCGTCCAAAGCAACAGAAGCAACATTTTGTTTCATATTCTTTTCAATTGAGTTCAGATTGCTTTACTCGAGCTAAAGGTCACGAAATTGAGCAGCAGGTTCACTATGAAGATGAAAGCATGTACAACGTGCATTAGATGCTATGTTTAGGAGATTAAGCAAATTCATGAAGGCATCATCGTAATGCTTTAACAGGTCCCATAGATTTGACCCTGAACACTTCCACGACGGAGGTGCTGCGTTAGACTAGAATGAGTGCACACAACTCATCCACATATGTTAATCTAGGAATTTGCAATGATTTCCGCAATTTTTTCTTCCGGCAACTTCTTATACCCTTTTGCTAATGTGGTAGCGTCGCACTTGCCAGAGATCCCACGTGTATTTATAAATGTGGCAATTGATTCGATATGGCACTGGTGCGGCGCCACGCCTGAAGAAGGCAGAAAACGAAAAAGCCAAAAAAATAGGATTTGATTGCACTTTAAGTCAAATGGTTAGAACTTTGGTGTAATTTTCCCTATTTTCGAAGCATGCATACCAATTTAAAGAAATATATGAGGAAAAATTATGCTTTTACAATTTCACACTGTTTTGTCACTAAAACTTCTTTTTATTTTACTTTGCATTTCACATTTCCGGCCCCTCCTCACCCAGAAGACCTTTTCTTTTAAAGAGAAGAACTCTAGAAGAAACTCTTTCTTTTCTATTTTTTGTTCTTTAAAAAACCTAGTGTAGAGAGAAATGAAAGCGAATAACGACGGGTGAATTTCAAGAGTCCTTATTATAATAAACTTGTTCAGGAGAGAAAAGGCCCCTTTAAATACTCGTCAATGAGTAAAGCAAAAGGGATTGTTGACGGTAGGTAGAAAAGATGAAAATTCAAAGCGAAAAAGAAGAATGTTACATTGTCAAGGATTACCTACAAGAAGAATTTATACAATGCCTAAGTAGCACGAAAGAAAAAGGGACTGGCCATTCAAACAATGACAACTTCTTATCCCAGTGGGAGCGGGATCGCCTTCGCAAGCCTGGATGCGTAATCCTTTGCTGCATTGCTGGTCTTAGCTTGGTTGGTGTTGGGTATTCCGAGGGCGTTCCCAACAAGGACGGTATGTGGGGATCGACAACGAGTCGCTTCGGCGACGCCGCGTTCTCGAGCCAATACCGAAGAAGCATGACCGGGAAGTATCTCACCCGCGGGTCAAAGCTACGACCTCCAAACGTTTCGTGAGCGTATCGAATGAGGTCCGGGATTTCCAAATCCTCCTCGTTTGGAGCATCCAACACCTGCCAAGGAAAGAATCATCTCATCATATCGTCCATACTGCGATATGAACGGGGGATACATTATGAATCCTGGAGCGCATAGCTCAACATGATTATATATATATATAGCACATGCAAACAGACCTCGGGTTCATCACGATAGAAGAGCGCGCGCGTGCAGTGTCGACCTATTTAAAGGAGGAGCTGCCTTCACAAGGTAAGTATAGAAGGAAATCGAGTAGAGATCTCGAGGTCGTAGAGATCAGCGACGTCCTACGTCAAGTGCTTCAAATCAATCAAGGCACCAGGGAGGCCCGGAGGGTGTTGAATGATGGATTATAACTCACACAATTCAAGAGAATGAGACAAAGAGGCCTTATTTACTTTTATCAGTTTCACCTTATCGGAAACAATTACAAGACACGCCGATTTATAGACTAGATACATGACTCTTAGACTTACTCTTAAATGACTCATAAATGTATCTATCTCCTATCTACTATTCAAAGGAGATAGGTTCCTAGGAATTTACACAACATTAACTAGACCTGGAAACTCTAATAGGCTCTTTGAAAAACAACACTACAATAGAGACTCTTCTTGAACGCGTGCACCAGTCTTGGAAGTCAAACGGCTTTCGGTAACTTGTTTAATGAATTAGCAACTTCCAATGAATTTGGTTTAATTTCTAACAGTCAAATACCGAAAACTTCAAATCCATCAAGCCACCCTGAGATGGAGCGCTTCGAGCTAGGGGAGGTAGCCCAAAAGGGAATAATGAATAGTTCTAGTGAATCCACAGATTGCAAGTTCCGCGACCCGAGGAGTGTCCTTGACATGAGTCTCATTTAAAAAGTTCTCTTATTAGACTTTTTGCATAATGTATATGAGATTTTTCTATATACTCCTTTTGGGGGATAATTACTCGTTCGGTCATAAACTATCATATGGATGTTAATTCAGTTATAAAGTTTTCAATATAATCTTTTTAGTCAATTGTTGCGGGAAATTATTGACATGGCATCCAGTCATCATCGGCCACCCTATGTGGGATGCTGATGAGGTGACTCGCAAATTGTTCACGTGATGCCGACCTTTTAGAAAAACTGAAAATACGTCGAGGCCCTTAAACATGGTTTGATTGTAGTTAAGGTAATTTAAATATATGCGCAAAAAATTGATTTAGAATCAAGAAAAATAGCCGACGGTGCTCGTTTCGAACAATGTTGCTGCAGTAAAGGAGAGTGGCCACACAGCACCAATTCTAGAGATGTGGATGGTACAACAAGGCCAGAAACCATTTCATCTCAACATAACTCTGAGATTTAGGGCCCGTTTGGCAACGTGCCAAATAGGAAAAATTTCTATTTTTTTATTCTCAGAATCAGTTAGGGAACAGAAATCCGTTTATTAAAATTTTTGTGCCCGGGCACAATTTTGCAAAAAATTGGTTCCAAAATCAGTTTTGGAATAGAATCAAGAAGCAAAAAAAAGTAGTTTCTTGATTCTAGAACAATTTTTCTGGAACTGATTCTTCTTGGTTTTCTTCTTTCTTTTTTATTTATTCTTCATCTTCTTCCCGGCCCACCGCCGGCAACCGGCCACCGACGACCGGCCACCGGCGACCGCCCAGGGCCGGCGAGGTCGGCCTTGCCCAGATCTGGCGAGGCCGACCTCGCCGTCGCCACCCCCCGCGATGGTTGACCTTGCCAGATCTGGGCGAGGTCAAGCCTCGCCCGGCCATGGCGAGGTCGACCTCGCCGTCGCAACAGGCGAGGCCGGCGGCGAAGGCCGTGACACCCTTGCCGGCCATGGCCAAGGGAAAAAAAGAAAAAAAAAAAGGAAAAAAAAAGAAATATTAAAAAATTCAAAATATTATTAAAATATTATTAATAAAAAGAAATTTTGTGTAGTTACCAAACGCATTTCTGTTCTTTTTCTATTCTAAGAATAGAAATTTTGGGCAGTTACCAAACGCCTTCAAATGCTTAAAAATTGTTCCCGGGCACAGAATAAAAAAGAATCATTTCTGACCAGAATCTGCTCCCGGGCACAGAATGGTTGCCATGCGCACCCTTAGAATCCCGGACCCTCAATTATATATGTATAATACATAGTTATATATACTTATATATGTCGATCATGTGCATAAATCAATGATGTAAGTTACATCATTGTATAGTCTCCTTTTATCAGATAAGAAAAGACAACCATGTCTAGAGAAAGGAAAATTATGGAGTGACCTTAATCTTTGGCTGACATGCATGATAGATAATAGCGCGAAACGAAATATATGTTTTATTTGTCTTCTCTATGCAAAGTAGGTTAATTACGTTATCGCATGATCTCAGATTATCTTAACATATAAGGAGGTATTTAGACAGTAAATTTTCATTTGCAATCGACCACTTGTATAAAGAAACCAGGTGAAGCCATAATTCTCAGAATTCGTGATTGACAAAATCAAAATCAATATATGTATGCTTAGGCAAATTAACTACTCCCAAATACAAGTCGCAAAGTTGATCTTTTTCTTTATAACTTTCGACAGTTAATGGTAAGGATCTCTAGCTATGAAATTTTTTTTCTCAAAACACATCACATCAGTTAATAATGAAAGTTCATATAATACAACGATGACAGGAGAGCGAGATTCGAGTTGCCGTTGCAAAAGCTTAAGTTAAAAAAATGAAACGTCTAGACAAACCCCCATTCAGTCCAAGTAAGAACAAAGAACATTTAAACTGACTAAGATTAAATAAGTCTATATCACAACTAACAAACAGATGAACAAATCAGTTTATACAAGTAGGCGAGTTTTCCTCCTGTCCCTCTTTCAAACTCTGGATGCGTAGACATTGCCAAGGTATTCGACACACACATGAGACAGTATACGGAACCTTTGTCGATACATATACTCATGATATATAACTAGATGCTCTTGCCGAAAGCTCACTCTTAAACATAATATACTGTAGCAATAATTGCTTAATGTATTAGAGGATAGATCAAACACAGCATAACTATACATACCTAATGCATTTGAGCATCGATATTCAGGTTCTTATATGATCTTGTCAAGATGAAGATGTCACCGATGCATTTGTTTCACTGATGTAACGGGGGTTTTGCCACAGTCACTTCCACGCTGGGCACGAGGACGCAGCAACTCATTGCTGGATTATATGATACAAATTTCAAATCGTGTTTGAGCCGGAAAAAGGGCCGATTATTTTCTGTTCCGCAAAGCATGCAAGTCTGCTTGAACGTCTAAATGAGTCGGCTCGTGTATCATATGTACCTTTTAGTTGTAACTCGGTTTGGTAAACATATCCGACATAAGTATATAAGAATTGAGAGAGCTTGAACAAATGATTCTGCACACTGTCATCTTATGTTATTCTATAGTTTGGCTAATCTATTTAAACACAGTTATTGAAATTAAATTTTCCCATAACATGACATAGTTTTCCATATATGTATATATGCAGGTGGAGTATATGGGTCAGCAGAGAGATTGTACGAGATCAAGCTTGAATATGAATACTCCAAGCTTGGAGTTCAGCCTAGGGAGATCCGATTGGCGTGGCAATGTATATGACTCCTAATTAGACGCATCAAAAAATGTTTTTCTAATGCATATATATGGGAAATAGTATAGAGCACATTAATTATCGATATAGTTTTGATTTAACAAAGTCATTTTTTTTTCGGAACCGGTGCATCCGCTCTCCTAGTTTTTATGTTTTCCCGGCTTCCCTCTTTTCTAGCAAACTAAGGTTGCTTCATTTTGGAATTAGGGTTTTGATGGTTCATGTCCAATTGAATAAGGCAGAAGTAGATGACAAGGATAATATCAATTTCCATACGTTGGTCATTGAGTTGTTCCGATTAGCGTTTTGCTTTTCATCGTTTTTTTGATCGATTTATGAAGACATCCTGCTTTGTTTGATGCTCTCGGATGGGCAATTTGAGGTGAACCCAGTACGATAAAGCTTATCTTTGTGAACGAAGTGCTTGGCGTTACTTGCTCTTGTGCACCCAATTACATGCGCAACCGTTTGCTCTCAAAACTTAAACTGTTATAATACGGTGCAGAACGAAATTTTTTTTTTTTTATATCTAAACATACTCGAAAAAGAAGCTCGAAGAGTGGCTAAGATTATTATTGAATGATTGAAACGATCGCTTCAATTCCAAAGCACGCATTTGGTCCATAGTTAAAGCAGATGTCCATGTGCAAGATAGAGATCGAATATCTCCATCGATTCTCATTACAATTATAAACTACCCCCTAATTAAAACTCGAAATTGTTGGGAAAAGTACCAAAAAATACCTAAACATATTGCATTGGTACCAATTCGATTCAAAATATTTTAATTAGACCAGTTTAGTCCTAAATATTTTGATAATTTGCCAATGTAATCCATCCGTCCAATTTTGGCCGAAAATTGTTGACATGGACATCGGTTGACTTAAGTGGCATGGCCGGTGCTACGTTGACAATTTCTTATAAATTTTTATTACTTTTTTTTTTTCGTTCTCCTTTTCTTTCCTTCCTTTTTTTCCCAACTATAGGCCGGCAATGTCGCCAGCCATAGGTGAGGGCCGACACCCTTGCCTATTGGCTAACAAGGGCCACAATTCCCTCACTGGCCACAGGGGAGGGCTGCAAGCCCCTCGCCTGTGGCGGCCCTCACGTATGGCCAATGAGGGCGTCACAGCCCTCACTTGGATCTTGGCAAGGGCGTGGTGGCCCTCACCTGTGGCCCGCAATGGTCGGCCGGCTAGAGTTGTAAAAAACAAACAAAGAAAAGAAAAAAGTATTAAAATTAAAAAAAAATTAAAAATTGTAACATTTGTTCACGTCAGTGCTAGTCATACCACGTAGGTTGGCTAGTGTCGATGTCAGTGATTTCTGGCCAATTGATGGACTAAATTGACAAATTGTCAAAAATTTTAGGACTAAATTGGTCCAATTGAAAGGTTATGATTGAGTTGATATTAATGAAATAGGTTTAAGACTTTTTTTATACTTTTCCCCGGAACTATTCGACAAATAAGAATTGGACCTTTTGGCATCATGTCTTCAATTAAATATCACGAACTGTTTTCAGTGGTGTGCATTCATTAAAGCTCGAAAAATTTCGAGGACATATCAGTAGCATTGGTCTAAATTACACACAGAACTAAGATTTAATCTAGAATCACATGATGTGATGATGACAGCAAAGTCCATATTAGTCCCAATTCAAGGGGAAAAGTGCCAAAAAAGTCCTAAACCTTTTGTATTGATATCAATTTAGTCTTAAACTTTTTTTTTTATGCCGATTCAGTCCTAAACCTTTTGCATTGGTGCCAATTCAGTCCTAAACCTTTTTATGGTGCCAATTTAGTCTTAAACTTTTTATATTGATGCCAATTCAGTCTTAAACCTTTTGTTTTTGTGCCAATTCAGTCCTTTCGACCAATTTTGGCCGGATTTTGCTGATGTGGACGTCGGTCGGCCGGTATTCGATCACCGGCACTGATGTGGACAACTTTAATAATATTTTAATATTTTTTTGAATTTTTATTTAATTTTTTCTCTTTTTTTCCCCCACCCCTCCCTCCTTCCTCTAGCCGGTCGCCGGACCAGCGACCAGCCAAAGGCCAGAGGTCGGTGTCGACGAGGCTCGCCCTCGCCATGGTTGGGCGAGGCTCGATCTCTCCGGATCTGGCGAGGTTGAGCCTTGCCGACGGCTAGGCGAGGCACGACCTCGCCCAGCCACGGGGAGGGCAGGCATCGCCAAGGGCCGATTGCCGGTTCGGCGACTGGCTGGAGGAAGGAGAGAGGGGAGGGGGAAAAAAAAGAAAAGAAAAAAAAGAAAAAAATTCAAAAAAATTCAAAAAAAATATTAAAATATGATTAAAGTTGTCTACGTCAGTGCCGGTGACCGGCCGGCACGTCAGCAAAATCCGGCCAAAATTGGCTGGAAGGACTGAATTGGCACAAATACAAAAGGTTTATGATTGAATTGGCATCAATATAAAAAGTTTAGGACTGAATTGACACCATAAAAAAGGTTTAGGACTGAATTGGCACAAATGCAAAATGTTTAGGATTGAATTAGCACAAAAAAAAAGTTTAGGACTAAATTGACACAAATACAAAAAATTTAGGACTTTTTTGGCACTTTTCCCCCAATTCAAGTGTCGTTTGCGCATATTGACAATGCCATTGATTTGCTCGTAATGGAGACAAGAAGAAACAGACATAAATCTACTGTTGTCGAGCCTAATTATAAGACAAGTTCGAGTGACTTCACTTCGTGAAACTTATGCATTTAGTCTGCATTGCCTCGTTTGAATAATGTGAGTTTCGTTTCTCATCCACGTCTTCTATTTTGACCTGTGCGCATCTTAATCTCCCTCAGCCGTTTTTTTGACCTTTCTTGAGATTGCTTGTCTTCTGCCTGTGCCTTCGTGTCATCGTTATCCTTACACACGAATGAAAGTCCTCCAAGATCTTCGGACAAGTTTACTTGTCATCGTCGTTTTCTCAATTGTCGCAGCTTCATTATATGTGTTGCTATAAATCGGAATGTCGATTATCATGCTCCCTATTCTCTTGAGACCATCTTTAAAGGCACATGCTTGTGTGTGCATTCATATCCGTATCAATCTACAAGCGTGTCTATATATTAAAGAGAAAATAACGCAAATGGTATTTGAACTTTAGTTCAATGTGCAATATTTGGTCCAATGCGATTTTGAACTTTTGGTACGTGTTCAATTCAATTCCTAAGCTATAAGAAAATGTGCTATGTTGTCCTTCTATTGATTCGGGTTAAAGGAATTTGCTGATTTGCCTTCCAGTCCGACACGTTTGAACATCGGATAAAAAAAAAACGTTACACGTAGATTATTCATGTAAGATATTCGACTCAAATGAGAATATAATAATTTTTTTTAATTTGTTAAATTTGGAAACGTGATTATCAATGTTATTTGATGACGTTGATAATTATATCTTGATTTGAGTTGAATATCTTAGGTAGATAATCCATGTGTAACGTTTCAAATCATCAAATTCCGTTAACTTGAATCGGTGGAATGACAACATTGGATATCTTCATATAACCCGGGAACTACATTGAATATATATAAAAAAATTTAAAGATCGTATTGAATAGATTATAAGTTTGGAGACCACATTGCATATCAGATCAAATTTCAGGAAACTGCTCGTGTAATTATCCCTAGAACAAGAGACCCTTTGTAGGCGTTTTGGATTCTCCGGGGCAATTTTGTCTCGCATCGAAATATATGCTCGTGACCCAAGTCTATGTTGCCACTTTTTGCGAGAACTGGTGTAATTTTAACTCGGATTGAATTGATGAATCTAGTGCATTTAGATCCGCCCTTGGACAGTCTTCGACGCAAAGTGGTCCAAGATCGGCGTCACCAAATCGCTCGCGAAACTGAGCTTTCGAGCAGAGACGTTCGCGCGGCACCACTCCAACGACGTCGGATTGGATCCGACAATCGTTACGACAGGTTCTATTTCCAAGCTTCGTTTCGATCCCGTTCGTGCAACTCGCGCGTCCGAATCCCAATCACCACCACCATATATACATCCCGCAAGAAGCCAAAGCTCCACCCACCACCCACCACCTCCCACCTTCCGCCGTCCCCCGCCTCTCACCAGATTTCTTACGCAGGGAAATGGCGGGGCAGCCGGAGAAATTCTCGATGGATTTCGTGATGGGCGGGGCGGCCGCCGTGGTGTCGAAGAGCGCCGCCGCTCCCATGGAGCGGGTGAAGCTCCTGCTGCAGAACCAGGGGGAGATGCTGAGGAGGGGCCACTTGAGGCGGCCCTACCTCGGCATCGCCGATTGCTTCGGGCGGGTCTGGAGGGAGGACGGCTTCCTGTCGTTTTGGAGAGGCAATCAGGCCAATGTGATTCGCTATTTCCCAACACAGGTGAGGGCTGAAGCTTCGCTCTTTTGCCCCTTTTTTGAATCGTGGGTTGTCGTTCTGTTGTTGTCTTGTTGGAGTTAGAAAGAAAAGTTTGGCGCTTTATAGTTAGAACTGTTGATTCTGCGGCAGCTCAAATGGTTCTTTGGTGCAAGATTTGGTTGGTTCTGGGTAAAGTGGCTTAAATGGTGTTTTCCTGGGAGGATTTTTAGAGGTTGGTATTCAATTTGGCATGGCTTAGCTGGTTCCGATGGAGAATGTTCGCTTTTGAACTTCTTACAACGCACGATGTCTTTCTATTGGAATATTGGAGTCTGATTTGCCAGTGAGGATGGAATATGGAATGTGAAAGTGGATGGAATTAGCTGAACTAGCCTGCTTTTTTTATCTACAATCTGATAGGCAAAGGGAGAGAAGAAAAATAAAAGGAAAAAAGTCAAGACGATAACCAGCGTGTCCCAGTTAATAGTCTGTTGCAATCCTGATTGGCTGCTTTCGGCATTTCGTTTTGGCTGACAGAAGTGCCATGGTTCTCTTTGGGGATGATCATGTCATATCCTTGTTACATTTTTGTGCATCCTTCCTAGGCAAGAGAAGCGCTTTCTCAGATTTCATCTTGAGCTGTGACTTTGTAAAAGTAATGCCTCCAAAATGCCAGTCACTTGAATTTTTAGGACAAAAACAGGGGTCCACAGCTTGTGATTAGAAGGGTGCAGCGCGGTTCGTGCCTGTTTTCTTTAGTTGGTACAGGCTAGTGGGTTGCCTTAGTGATAATATATCTATTCTGTGATCTTAATTGCTAGGTGAGCTTCCCCCACAAGCTCTAGAATCTCCTGCTTATATCTGCTGTATGTCAAATACTTCCTTTAAGAGGTTGCGAGACAACAATGAATTCTTAGGTGAACAGCCATATCAGGTGCTTAAAATAGATACGAAGTAGCAAGGACTACTGCTGTTCTATTCCAGAATCTGAGCCTTTGGTCGCCCCCAGTAAGTGAAAGATGCTGTTGGGTAACTGCATGAGTGCACGGTTGGGAAATTAATGTTTTCTATTCCACTAATTTGTCTATTTGAGTGACCTGTTAAGACGTTTTGGATGTCCAAACTTACTGATGTTCTTTTGATTTATGTGCTTTCATCCTAATAGTAGTAGGTGCAGTTCATGATTTCCACATGACGTAACAAAAGATAGATATACCTAATTATATCTATCTAAAAAGATAGTATACCTAATTATTTTTGCAATTTTTAGACTCCAAGCTTTGATTATTAGTTTCTTTGGAGTGGTATCTGGTGTTGAACCTATTCTATATATTCATCCCTGATTTTAATTATTTGACAGAGCTTTCACTGTCCCTAGGCTTTCAACTTCGCATTTAAGGGTTATTTCAAAAGTTTCTTGGGCCGTTCAAAAGAGAAAGATGGATATATAAAGTGGTTTGTTGGAAATGTAGCCTCGGGAAGTGCCGCTGGAGCTACCACATCGCTGTTGCTTTACCACTTGGATTATGCACGGACGCGACTGGCAACTGATGCTAGGGAGTGTCCAGTTCGTGGTCAACGGCAGTTCGCAGGATTACTCGATGTATATAGCAAAACTCTATCCACTGATGGAATAGCAGGTCTTTACCGTGGATTTGGTGCTTCAATCGTGGGAATTACTTTGTATCGTGGCATGTATTTTGGGATCTATGACACGATGAAGCCTATTATTTTGGTCGGTGCTTTCGAGGTATGCAGCTCTCCAGATTCTCTTTTGATGCCGAGAATCTCGAATAGATGCTAACGTAACTTGAAGATTTATAATTACTGTTTGTCTGTTTTATCTAGATATCTTCTACTTGATGCTGTTGGAAGTGACCTTATTCATTTTTAGTTCCGCCTGTGGAGAACTTATTTTGGGTCCTCTGTTTTTCCGCAGGGGAATTTCTTTGCTAGCTTCTTGCTTGGTTGGAGCATTACGACAGTCTCTGGAGTATGTGCTTATCCCTTTGACACTCTAAGGCGAAGAATGATGCTCACATCTGGACAACCCGTCAAGTACCGAAATACCGTGCATGCATTTCGGGAGATTGTCCAACGTGAAGGTGCAAGGGCCCTCTATCGAGGAGTCACTGCGAATATGCTTCTTGGTATGGCAGGTGCTGGAGTTCTTGCAAGCTACGATCAGCTTCAGAGAATTGCTTCTGGACATGGTTTTTCCTATGAGCCGCACCGAGGCGTTTTGAAGTGACAGTTGTAGAATATGGATACATACATCATTCATAAGCTCCTGTTTCTCTCCATGGATCTTGTACAGCTAATTGAAATGAAGGAGATAGCTCCCTCAATTGTACAGTGTAATTGATTAATTTATGAAATTCATATAGCTGATCAATAGGCGGAATGAAAACTCAAAATTTAAAGAGTTCGTTAAAGAGTACTCCGTAACACTTGTAACACTTGTTCATGCACGATCAGCATTTTGAAAATTGATTGCTCTGGTGTTATATCTTGAAAACCAAACTAGCATTATCCTTATAAAGGGTACACTAAACACACAGTGGCACCGGTACAATTATCAGAGAGAAATTTACAACAGAAGCAATTTCACTTTTCACTCCCACCAAGTGCTATTGACCAACCCATTCCCCCAAGTACAAGTTCATCCAGCTGAAAGAAAATGAGCACACGGTTCTGACCGGACTAACTATTTATGGATCTACAGTCCTAATGTTTGGGGCCAAGAAGCGAAAGCAGGAAAGTCCTATAGTGGCCTGATGTTTCAGAGTGAACTGCGTCGTTTAGAGTCTTCTTGTACTTCTTATGGTATTCTGCTTTTATATACTGCATGTCGATTTCGGTCCTTGTCACGATCACCCTTATCAGTGTTGTGTCGTTGGTCCCCAGACCTTTCATCGCCTTGTGTAATACCTGCAAAGTAAAGTATACATGCATGAAGGGTTGCAACTCTGATGAATTTTATTTTTAAGCAGCAGCTAAGCAATCAGGGCTATGCCTGAGATGAGATTGAAGAAAAATACCTTTGCAAAATACTGGGCTGGGTTCTGAGAACACTGTAAGATTGTCAAGAGACCGCGCTCAAAATATCCTGACGTTTCGCTCTTCACAGCCTGATTTGGTTCATGTTCTGGTTAGGCATTATGCTTCACAAAAGGATAAATAAACAACAGATTGGAAATATGCAAGCATATCTGAAGAAAACTCACCTTCTTTAAGGAATTGCCGTACATGTTATGATAAGCAGAATCAATAGCAGCCAAATGTGCCCTGCTTCTTTCGCTAAAGATCTTGATAAAAGTCTTCTCATCGGTCCCCAGCCGCTTCTCCCCAGCTTTGAAAAGAGCCTTTGCATCCTGTTCTACAGCCATCCTATCGACTTCCAAGCCTTCATATCGCGGCGTACCGACATATTTAAGCAGAAGCTGCGGAAAGCCTTAAAGTTTAGATACTGCTGACTTATCTAGTTTGATATGCTGTCACCTTGATAGCTTGTCTCGTACAAAATTGAGATCATTATATTCCGTTTGCATCTCTTTGTGTTGAGTAGACACAAATTTAAAAGTTGGCAAATAGCTTCATGCTTAACATGTTTGAAGGAAATGATATAATAGCTACTCATAGAGAAGCTTCTTGATGCAATCTGAACAAAGAGGTTCTCATTAACATGACCTACATTGCATTACCGGTAACATCCCTACACCAGCAAGCATGAATAAAATCTTGAAAAGAAATAAAAAGGTGGGTAGGGTTTAAAACAAAACATGTCAAAAGAAGTCCTCACCTAAGAAATCAAAACCATAACGATTTCTGTAAGATCAAGAGCGATTTCCCAAGGCTAACTATGTACACAAAGAGCTAATAACAGAGTAGAACTACAAAAGCAGAAGAGCTCTCACCTGCTTATGGTCCCCAGAGGTATATTTCTCAATTTCATGCTCGAGATGAACGCCGAACTTGGAATAGTAGTGTTGCTTAAACATCTGTATCTGAGTTGGAGTGCGAGAACATATTACTTCAGTAGCAGCTTGAACATTTGTTGATGACGCCATAAAGGCCTGCCTTACAACTATTGCATCTCGTCCAGCTGGGTCATGCATCCATAGCAAAACAGCCGTCTGGGAAAAGGAAATGGACAAAAAAATACAGAATCATGAAGCACAATAGCTCTCTACAGATGAAAAGATAAAAAACAAAAATTGCACCTAAAAGTGCAGAACGAATTATGAAAGAAAGAGTAGAATTGAGACCTCTAATTTGCCAGTTAGTTCCGATTCTAAGCGCTTGAAAATATCTTCAGAATACATGGTGCGATATTCCTGCTGAATAAGAGCGCGTTGTGTGACATCCCGATGGGCAAGAATATTGACAACCGCTGCAGTATCACATCCCAAACCTGGAATATGAAACAGAAAATGTCACTTGTCACCTACAAAAGCTCCTTTTTAAACCTTCTTCCTAGAGTAATATCCAATATCTTCTTTCAATTATTATTTTGAAACATAGAACTGAAAAAAAGAAGAAGAGAAAATGAATGTACATAGCTCAGCAAGCCCACTCCTAAAGGCTACTTGACTTTTAGAGCCTTGGAAACACGGTTATGCACTCTCAAGCCGCTACATACGTTGGCGATGTGAGACAATCCCGAGGGGTGAGGGGCATCCATAACCATTTCTCGAAAAGCTGTTTAACTCCTCAATGTAAATTGCATAGCCACATTTTACTCACGAATCATCCCAATATGTACATACAAAAATCAATAATATCCTCCAAGAAATAGCCAGCAGCAAAGATTTCTCCTCACAAGTCCTCCCGTCCTGTAAACTGATATCAAGACAGAGCGCACACTCTCTCCACCATCGATCACACCAAGATTAGGCACCACTAATCGCAAGGATGATGGAGGATCTGAGGTCCTATCAAGCTAACCAGCAGGCCAAAATGAAACTGCTATAAGCATCAATGTGCCTAAAAGCTAAAATTTGACCCCAAACAACCAACAACACGAAAGAGTGTGCCACACTGAAGAACTCTCTTTCGTTAAATTACAAAACAAACGACAACTCGTTCAATAACTGCGAAAAGAACAAAGAGCAAAACGAAGCAGAAGTTGAAAGTAAAACAAAGGGTAACAACACTTAGTAGTTGGCACCGAAATCACTACCCTTTTCATTGCAAAACAAGTCAATCAACTTGAGAGGGAGAGAGAGAGCGAGAGAGGAGAAGTACCCTTGAAAGCACGGTAAATTTGCATCGCGTCGTCTCTTGGGGAGGTGAGAACCGGAGGGACGGTCAAAGTCGACATTCTTTCCTTACCCTTTATTCTCCTTCTCTCTTCCCTCTTCTTCCACAACCAAACTCAGTCTCACGGTGCCTTCTTCTTCTTCTTCTTCTTCTTCTTCTTCTTCTTCTTTGTGAATGAACTGAGTCCGAGAGAAAACCACCCAAAAGCAAAAGAACGGCAAGAAGGGAGATGAAGATCCGAAACTGGTTTTTCTTCTCTTTCCTTTGGAAAGGAGGTAGCCTTTTCAACACCCGTGGCCCATGTGCACAGTGGCGCTCAAAGCAACGTCGCTTTTCTTGAACGGTTACACTGATTTGTTGCGCATTTAACTCTCACCAATCGTCCTTTCCTGCGTGTGACCCACTTGAGCTAAGCTTCTTTTCAATCGCCTCCTAAAACCAATTTCCGTTTCCGATACACTTTTCGCCTTTCGGCCATATCAACGCGCTTGCTTCTCCCTCTTCGTTTCTTCTTCTTCTGGTGGCGTATGTGGTGGTGTGTCCACGGTGTTCGACTCTTCATCAACTACCCAATTACAAAAACCACCTCTTTTTTTTTTTTTTTTCATATTTCATTTAGTGGATAGGGCGTTTCAGGAACACCCGTCAATGGAAATCGTCAGTTAAAACCAACGAATCCGATTCCCCCGTTCAAATTTCAAGATCAATCCGGGCCACCCACCTCATTACCTGAAGTGGTTTTCATTAATATCATTGTTGAGGTGTGATCAGTGACTATATCTAATCCTGAAGTGCAACGTGGGCCGTTTATATGCATTACACGCGCAGGCTGTCGTGTCGACCTTCAGCTGCTTTTTTTTTGGGTCGAAACCATCAGCTGCTTGAGTCGGTCGTTTTCACACGTGTCACAGGAACATGTCAACGAACTTATCACAATGAACAGATGGATCATAGATTCGAGTAATCAGTCAAACATTGACGTTGCTCACGCGAGAAAACTTACCAAAGAGTAGATTCGAAACAAGACGTTAATCATGAACAATAGAAGGAATTGCAGAGGGAAAAGAACTTTTCGTATCGCTGGGTATCCAATTTCTTACATCAAAAGTTTCGGGTTACAACGGACATCTGACTTCCATTCGCGATGTTAGGAGAACCTTAGCATCAGCAAAAATGCCTAAATCATATGAATACACAATGCTACAGTTCTCGATCGTTGCCCATTTGCTCTGACCCGTCGATGCTTCTTAGCGTGTTCACGTATGTGTAGCTAGAGAAGGAAACGAAAAGCTTGCGGAACCTGCAATGTGAAGAAGCATATTTTATCCACTTAAAGAAAAGAAATCCTTCACCAAGATTGCTCAAACTCGAGAGAAATTTGTAGGGCGCAGAGTAAAAGAGGAGGAGAATCTTCTAAACAATGCAGTGGTCTTTCTCTAATTTAAAGTCGATACAGGACAGGACGCATACCAAACCCATTGACTCGAGTGTTGCGACATAGCAATAAAGCTCCTCCGAGGATTCTCATTCATCAAGCAATGCACTGACCCAGTGGGGCTACGCGAGGCAAACAACGTGGATATCCAAAAATCGACTGGTCCACTATACTTGCGTAAGATGTTGGTACTTACCTGCAAAACATCAAAGATATTGAGATAACATACAACACAGTACATCATATCCAACACAAAAATATACCATTCAACATTTGGCAGCCGGATTATAATCTCACAGAGCGATGATATTATGTCAAACTAACAAAATTGTCCATAATAAAGCGACAAGAACTATCATTTGAAGAGCTGAACAAAGAGAACAACAAGTCTATAGTCAAAGAGTCTAAGCTGAATTCCAAAGGTTGAACTGTTTCATAATGATAGGCTTTCAGACCATAGCTCATGATAGCGAGAAATAAAGGTAAGGCATAGCAAGGGAAAAACAAACATACAAGTTCCCAGGCCTCGATATCTCTTTGTGCCGTCACTTGAAGGAACTTCCTGCTCACACCAAAATGCCACGAAAAGAAGAATAAGGTTACTTATAAACAATTTCGGTATGCCATAGTTAAAGAATTGCTGTTGGAAGTGGCAAGGTGAGTAATAAGCCACTGACCATGTTTGATCCACAAAGTGCATTAAGAAAAGCACTGAGAGAGAGAGAGAGAGAGAGAGAGAGAGAGAGAGAGAGAGAGAGAGAGCGAGGGAGAGATTATACAGTGCATTAGTACTGTTAAATGTTAATCATATTAAAGTTACCTCACATGCATAAAGGACATCACTGGAAAATTAATAAGATGCAACAGATGGGGAAAGACAATAGATAAAACGTTTCACTAACCGAACCCCATAGTGCACATCACGATGGTTGCAATGGCCCGAAACACCATAGTCATCAAAAGTGATAACCTGAGAAGCCCATTTGATGAGTATCATCCTATAAGCAACGTCACTCACTATGTTACTGAAGCAACTAGAATTCTCAATTTGACATAGTGGATAAAGATGCTCAATGCATGCCATACAATGAAGAGATTTCACAACTGCTAGCATAAATTACCAAAGGCGAATATGGAAACAGGGGCGAAGAGCATCTATCTTCAGAAGGATTTTTTAAAGTGCCTACTTTCAGTCAATATCTTACCACATGAATGCCACGAGCAAGCACTTCCTGTTCTATGATCTTGGATAATAGGTCATGATTCCATTTGTTGCCAAACCCATCCTAGTGATTATAGAAAAAGTTTAAGATCTAATAAGATGAAGATAGACAATAATAGACTTCACTGATCAGGTAGTACCTGCAAATCTGGATGTTCCATGACTTTAACTTGTGGGCATGGCACCTTCATACAAGATTCCACATTAGACAGCTCACAATGTGGACAAAATGTATGGACAAGTTCTGAAAATCACCTCGAGAGTCACACAAGCTTGATAAAGCTCTTCTTTTCTTATATTTCCTTTGCCATCAGCATCACCTTAAAAGCAAATGAAGCTAAGCAAGAGAAGCACGTGCTCGATAAATCACAGAGTAAAGAATACAGCTTTTCTAAGAAGATCCTTAACAGAAAAGCACCATCAGACAATGAGCTAGAAATTCCTTTTACTCCCAAGTTATCATGCGATGAAATGACACAAAACGACATTGCCAAAACAGTTACCAAAACATTTGGAAGCTCGCAGGGTGATGCATGAAATTCTATTCCGATAACTTCTTTTTTGCTAAGATCATACTGCTATTGCTCTCAGAAGCACATAAGCTTCAAATACAGCTCGTGGTTTAGACCAATTCGGAACCTTTCCATTTTAATACTTCGACAACAGTGAGAGCATCTATGCTGGTCCGGCACACCAGTATAATGCAAGAAATCAATTAAGAATCCTAATAAGAAGAATCCTAATGAGATAACACAAAGAAAGTATCACATTACCAACTGACAAGCATAAAATATGAAGGTTATGTCCCCTTGAAGTGAGATAACTTATAGTTGGCGAGAAAAACCTGCAATTGAATGATCCAGAAAATCTTCAATACAGTGTGAAAAATCATTTCATTATTGAACAGATAAATTTATGAGCATTTTTGCCATTCAAACATGTTGGATCGCTGGACAACTATAGTGTAGTCTTGAGAAGGGAAGAAATAGACCATGGTAACAGTAATCTCATAAAACCCATGAATACCTTGAACCATAAATGGAAATTGTTAATATACACAAGTAATTTTTCACAGCTCACCAAAGGCACTATAGCACGTCCTTTGAAACTAAGGAAGTTTGTTGCTCAAGATACATGATAGGTACTCCTAAATTATTAACACAAGTGATAGGTGACGTTTTCTTCCACAAGGGGAAAAAACTCGACCTTGAGCTTGTAGCCTTGGACATTGATGTATCCAGAACGAATAACAGAACCATATACGATAAAAGCAGCTTTGCTTTTCAGCCAACAATTGGAAACATTGAAAGGAAAATCTTACATGGACTCGTCGTCGGGGTGGGCTATAACCAGCAAGACATTGCTCTTGTTAGCATTTTCGCCTGATTATGACCACACGAAACGATTACAAAAAAAAAAAACAATAAATGACCCAACAAGACAACAAGGGATGAACTGGATCACCAACCACTGATTAGGAATGCAGGTTTTCTGGGGAAGTATGCTATCAAAGATGCGAACCATAGAAAAACCAGTGACGCAACAGCCAAGAGCCACATGATGTCCCCTCGTGCCTGCAAAAAGATTACGCATCTCGTTAAAACAACGAGCAAAAACCATGCTGAAAGAGTCCCCCGATCACCAGTAATGAAAGAGAACGGACATCGTAGAACCAAACATTCAAAACGAAATACTGGGAACAGAGAAAAATTCGATTTTTCGACCAAGCAAACTAGTCAAGAATTATGATGATCATTAGCGGATAAATGCTGGAACCACTGGCACCTCAGACGCGGCAAATGGGTGGCGGATCAGATCAGGCTCATCACGACTGCAAATTTGTCTCCGGCGGTGGCCGGCAATGGAGAAAGCCCACTGACCTCACCTACCGTGGCCCTATGGACGACCGTAGGCCGTGGCCCGGCCGCGAAAATCGGCTCTCTAGCTCTCTTGCATCAGCTGGTTTCGGACCGTCGCCGCCGCCGCCGCCGCCTTGGACGGCCACAGGGCATGCAATCGACTCGAATTCGTCCGAAATCGAGGCGGAGAAGCAAACTCAGGAACGCGATTCGCTCCGGATCAAGTTCTGGATCGTGAATTGAATGGCGCCGTTCTCCTTCGATCTCAGGATCCCTAATCTTGCTCGGAGATGATTACCTACTCCCGTTCGGTGGAGCAACTTTCATCCAATGGCATTAGGAGAGGGGAATTTCAGCCGGAGAGAGAGAGAGAGAGAGAGAGAGAGAGAGGGAGGTCCGAGAATAGCGATCGCGTCGGGGGCATCGCCGGAGAAGCGATGACGCAAGGTGACGGCGGCGTGAGGCCAAAGCGGCGGCCCGGGGCGAGGTGGCAGGCGGCGCGAGGTGAAGGCAACAGCGACCGGGCACAGGTCAACGCTCAAAGCTCTGTATTTCAGTGGAATTTTTAGGGAAAAACCCACCCAAAAAAAAAAAAACCCACGCTATATTTACTATAATACATTTATGGATATAAAAAAAAAACCTCAAATTTATATCTATATAACACATTTGCTTTACATAAAGATTCAATCAAAACAATATTTCAGTTAAAACACATGAACATTGTGTCAACACTATTTATTTTCCGGCGTCAATAGAATTTTAATAGTCCTCATTGATGGAATTTTAACGGAAGGTAAATGTATCACATAATTACAAATTTGAAACTTTTGATAACTTTCGGTGAAAAATGTTTCGTCACGGGAGCAAAGTCAGAACACAATCTCATATTCAGATTCTAACTGCCTTACCATCGAACCTCGCCCCCAGGAACAATCTGCTTTGTATGGGACAGTAATGGCCTTCTCCCAAGGGAAATCTTGCTTCTGAGAAGACAATGAGCACGAGCCAGGGCTCCAAATCCTTGGGACACATTGTTCTTCTCCAAGCTAGACTTGGCTATTGCACACTTCAAGAAACCGCCCAAGATAAGACAAGGAAGCATATAACAAGGCTATTACAAATTTGATGAAACTCTCCTTTTCTCTTGGAGACTTTTCGCACCTCGGCTAGTGCCATAGATGGAAGCAGATCATGAACATGTGGCTTTGCATCTGGATGTTGAAGACCATGGAATTCTAAGAGATGATTTAGGTAGGATTTTTTTCCCTCACGTCCATAAGAAGAGCCTGCAACAAAAGGGATAGCGCATAAAAGCTGTCTTTAATTTAACGGAAGAAGATACTGATGGAACAAAAAGCAACGAGAACGAACCGAGTCATAAGAACAAATTTCGCTTCATTTCTCGGTTGGACTGCACCCGGAACTGGCTTTAATAGCATAACGAGCCAAAACCTATGCAGGGAAACCAGCAAACTAGCATTCTCGTGAGCATACACACACCTATTTTATGTTGCTGTAGGGCTAGTTTTTTTCCGTTGGTCACGGAAATTTACATATTTTGTTCATCTTTATGTGTAGTTGTATAACAAGTGGCAATTGTGACTATAGCAACATAAAATAGATGTGTGTATTTTGTTTATCTTCTGTGCAGTTGTATGACAAGTGGAAAGTGTGACTATAGAGATTTCGCGTAGTCCGTATAGATTGTGTTCTTGACATGCTCAGTAGGTTATGAAAATATTATCTGATTTGGGGAAATTTCACAGCTCGGGTTTTTATGGCTGAAAAACCCAATTATTGGTAATTAAACGACAAATAAAGGAAAATTCGTATCGATGGGTATCTAAGTTCGTCATCAAAAGTTTCGGTTTACAACAGACATTCGACTTCCATCTGCGGTGTTCGGAGAACCTCAGCATCAGCAAAATGACTAAATCACATGGAAATTCAACGCTACAATTCTCGATCGTTGCCCTTCCTTTGCACTTGCTCCGATCCGTTGATGCTCCTTAGCGTGTTTACGCTCGAGTAGCTAGAGAAGGAAACGAGAAGCTTGCGAAACCTACAATGTGAAGAATCATAATTTATCCACTTGAAGAAAAGAAATCCTTCACGAAGATTGCTCGAACTCGAGGGAAATTTGTAGAACACAGAGTAGAAGAGAAGAGGAGAATCTTCGGAAGAATGTATTGGTGTTTCTCTAATTTAAAGTCGATATAGGACAGGATGCATACCAAACCCATTGACTTGAGTGTTGCGACATAGCTCCTCTGAGGATTCTCATTCATTAAGCAATGCACTGAGTGTCATCATCCATTTCTTCAGAAAAAGTACGTGGCATATATAAAAAGCATGACACTGGCCAAAGCACTAAATATGTCAAGACCATAAACGAGGAACATAAACTTATCTATCAAAAACCAGACATGAGACAACGTTTGGGAGAAACGTACAAAGCAACTGCTTCTACATGTTCTTCTATCTCTATGCTTTAGCGAAGTTACCATCAAACACCCTCTCTCTCTGCTTTCTCTCAATCCGTGAATCAAAAATGGCGGAGTTCCAAAGAAAAAAGAAATCAACAATGGCGGAGAATTGGGCCGACCTCCCTCAAGAGCTGCTACAACTGTGCTCAAGACAACTTCTTCAAAAGGACTGGCTTGCATTCCGATCCGTGTGCTTGACGTGGCGTGCCGCTGCGTTCGAAGAGAGGTTCAATCTACCATGTCGGATGCTCGCGGATGATAAGTGCACCGAGACCAAGTGGGCTGAGTTCTACATCCCCTTCAGTTCGCAAATTCACAAAGTTGTATTGCCGCAAGTGAAGGGGAAGAGGTGCTTCTCTTCACGGGGTTGGATCTTGACCATCGGCACAGATTTGGAAGTCCACATGCTGAATCCCCTGTCCCGTGCCTTGCGCTATCGCGACGACATCATTAAGCTCCCTAACGTGAACAAACTGTCCAGTTGGGATAACGAAATACGTGAACCGGAAGTCGTCAAGTTTGTCCTGTCTGCAAGCCCCGCTTCATCTCCAAACTATACAGTCATGGTCTTTTATTGGTCCTCTGGACCATTAGCCTTATGGAAACCAGGCAATGAGGAGTGGAAAAAGTCGACTCCCCCGGACCCGTATAAGGATGTTTTTTGTGTCATATATTACCGGGGGCAATTTGTCGCAGTTAACTTCAGAAGTAGTATATTCACTTGTGATGTGGATGGACCAGATCCAACAGCTCAAGTTATACTGGAGATGCCTCTGGAATTTCGACATCACTTTGAGGATAGCGTGGATCAGTACTTGGTGGAGTCGGCGGGCCATCTGTTGCTGGTCTCACGATTAGCACAAGTTCGCGAAACTAGCGAATTCCGGGTTTTCGCCATCAATTTAGATGCTAGAAGGTGGACGGAGCTTGAGAGCCCAGGGAACGTTGATGACGACAACAACAAGCACGGTATCAAGCCAAAGAGCATTGGAACATACTACATGGAAATGGATTTATTCTCCACCTCTATGGAATGAACCAAGTTTTTGATGTAGCACTATATCGATCGGTCCCTCATGTTCAAGTAGAATTGTCGCCTAAACATTTAAAAGTATCTTTCTATCAGTAATTATTTATGGTAAGATTTGCCTATTTTATGTTGCTACAGGGCTGGTTTTTTCACACGGAAATTTATATATTTTGTTCATCTTTCTGTATAGTGTATGACAAATGGAAAGTGTTGCTATTAAGATTCGCGTAGTCCGTTGAGATTGTGTTCTTGACATGCTCGGTAGGTTATGAAAATTTGTTCTGAATTATATTCAAGTCAAGTCTTGATTGAGCTTTGTCTTCTCGAGGTCAACTTCAATAAAAATTTAATGCGTCCAATTGGCACGATATCTTCATAACTCAATGATACTATTTCCTGGGGTCTTGACCACCTCCCTCTGTGCGAATGAGTTCCTTCCTCACCACTTCCACATCCTCCCATCGTTCATGAATAGATGCATACATATCTGACAATAAAGCATACCGCCCCCCGTGATCTGGCTCCAAGCCAATCAAGTATTTCCCAAGTTGTTTGCCTAGCTCAATCTCCCCATGAATCTTACAGGCAGAAACAGGAGCTCCCCTATTGAGCCCAGCTCGTCCAGGCAGATCAACCATAGAACCATAATGCTCCGACCGAGGTTCAAGCTGATACTTCCTGTCATAAGACTAAAAATTTGACGACCCTCTTCGACCAACCCCGAATGACTGCATCCATTTAGCAAGGCAGTGAGTGTTAGGTGATTCAAAAAAGGTTAATACTCTAGTTCGATTCCACTCGAACAAATTGATAAGGAGAGTAATTTAGTCTTACAAGCAAAGCAAGAACTATGTCTATGCAAGAATATGCTTCCTACCATGTTTGCCCGCATATTAAAGTCGAAGAGCATTAGCAGCATTCTGTATTGCAGTGGAATTTTTAAAACCGCCATCTTGTTACATTTCAAATCATAGGTGCCAATTTATGTTTACAGAGAAAGAATTAAGAAAACCTACGCAATCATGAAAGTAGTTCATGAGTAATCTATGTTCCTGTCGACAAATCACCTTTCAAAGGACGGATTGATATAGAAATTGACAAAGGATGTGAGAGGTCATTTGCTCAATCTTGGACAGGAAATGCGAATCGACGAGAAAATCAAAAGTACGAAAACTGGAGGTAATCTCGGCTAATCATGTAAAAAGAGTAATGGAGACAACAAGAAAATAAGATTGAACAATTTGTATTCATTGATTGATTGGCAGTCCCTAACTCGAATTACAATCCTAATGCTTATAGCTACAAGAGACAGTTAACAATAGTTACAATGGAACCGAAGAACATCCTACGTGACTCCTATAATTTAGCAATATGTATTTCCAAACGGTTACCAAAAGACCCACTACTGGATCATCATGACCTCATCACTCACCCTGTGTTAGATAATTACTTTCATGGCTTGCAGTTCCTCTTCCTAATAGTTATCACATTTCTTGGCAATTATCAATAGTGGCTTTCGAGAGTTATGGTTCCACGATTTGATGATCGTGCTCGTTTTATGATTGAACGGGTCGTTATCATTGTTCTCTGAGATTGTTGGCTTCGTGACTTGAAGACTTACCTATTCTTGATTCATCGATCTTCACTCCAGCTTGGGTTCCTTTGTCGACTTAACCAAAGTCTTATTTACAGGATCATGGCTCTGCACTTAGTAATTTTTTCTTCTATCGCCTATCAGTAACTTATCATCGCCTTTGTCGATTATCTATAGTCGTCGACCGAAACAAACCATGTCTTGCTCGGTCTCTTTCAGTCCGAGTCGATGGTAAAGGACTTGGGCACTTTTTTGGTGTCTAACAGTTCTTCAATCACATGGTAAGTCATTGACTAACGTAAGTATGCTGAGGTTTTAGGGCACGTTTGCTGAAGGGTGGTTAGTCTTTACTTCCGGATCTGATTCCCTTTCTCTAGTTAGAAAAAGGTCAAGCTTAGCATCAGAATTCCATTTTCAAGCGAAACTAGAGCCATGGTATGGTAACGGAGGCAAGATTAAACGTCTGATAGAGGCATTTCGTCAAACAGGTGACCCCAAATGCGTTTCCAAGGGTAGAATAAAAAAGAAATTGATGCAAACATGAGTTTCGAGTCTTACTGGATTTCACAAGCGATGGTTGGCATTGAACAGTGGTTTCAAGTAAATCCCGACAGGTGAATTTGGGTAAGAGACTGAGGGAATGCATTTCGGAATAGCGAGCATGAAGTAGGCATGGTAAAAATTAAGTCGCGGAGAATGGCTGACCTCTTCTATATGTCAACAGACACGTGGGGATCTCCGGCGAGAGAGGTGGTGCGATGGTGGTGGAGAGAGGGAAGGGGAGGAGAAATGCTGCGGTTGCGGCAGTTCTTTCTGAGGTTCCGCGGAGTTACATAAGCTCTAGCACTGTTGTGGATAGATTGCGAAACAAATCAAAAGAATACGACGAATTACAAAGAACTACAATGCTTCATGGTAGCGCTTCAACAATACATCACGGCGCGTTGTATGGGCTTGGATTTAGTGGTAGTTTAGTGCATTCCCCCGCAATAGAATGATAGAATCATAGCCCTTTGTTTTTCGTTGCAGTGGGTAGTCCCTGAAAATTATTAAAGAACTACTTCGGATTTTAAAGCGCAATACCGTAATGTTGTAGATCCGGTGCTATGCGCTGTAGCACGCCTATGAGCTTCGAAATCGTCGTAACGCATTGCAGCCCTCTGTTTCTTCGTAGCGTTTCTTCAAATATCTGTTTTATTGGATAGATCGCGAAACAAATCAAAGCACTATGACGGATTACCAAACATTACAGGCGCAATCATAATGCTAGAGCAACACGTTCAGTCCAAATTGATGATTCTGCTCATCACACCAGCAAGAGCATAGCAAGGTTTTAGCAGCAAATTCAAATGCCAGTTTCATCTGATGGAACTTCGTGTAGGAAAATCATTCTAACACTGATGATGACTCAACCCCGACTACAATCTTCCTCTTTTGTTCAGATTTTGAACCCTTGCTCCTCCCACTCTTGGCTAGACCTAATCAAGATTAAAGACATCCTCGGCCACCACTCAAGCACTCTATGTTGCGCAAGAAATTTTATTACACTTCTGTACATGTTGAAAATGAAGAGATGGGTTGCTATGGTGCTTAACTACTTATAAAGAAACAGTAACCACAAGAAAGTCATATTGATAGGTTAACAGAAATCCAGCACCTAAACCAAGTTCCAAGGATCAACATGCCTCTCACTATTCTTCACTGGGTGTTTAAAGCAAGATCGTGCCAAGAATCTCCATCAGCTTGTTGAGTCTCCTGATCTGGATTATTTGGCAAACAGTCGATCACTAGCCAGTCAATTCATAAGAACATAGAGAAAGCAGTTATATCTAGTGTTGTCATCCATTTCTTCAGATAAAACATAACAGCGGTCAAAGCACTAAATAGGCCAAGACCATAAATGAGGAGCATAAACTTATCAATCGTAAACCAGACATAAGAGAAATTTTTAAGAGAAACCTACAAAGCAACTGCTTCTACATGTTCTTCTATCTATGCTTTGGCGAAGAACCATCAAACAATTACGACACATCATGTAAATGTTCATTTGTCTGTGCTTCAACCAACTAAAGGAATCAAAATACTCGCAGCAGCACCACCTTAACAATAGAGACTTCCTTATAATTGTTAGAATCGTGATCCTCATAAGAACAAACAATGGGCTAAAAAGGCTTTATTGCATAGTTGTCACAGTTAGATTAGATTAATTTATTCATATTCATGTCAATTCGATTCAAAGGAGGCAATTCTCTAGCCTCAAGCTTATTAACCAATGGACCAAACAATGATGCATCACTATAAACAACAACAGTGACAGTGGGCGCATTCAATGTACAAGCCTAAGGATGAAACAAGCTCTATCTTCACAGTGCAACAGGGAGATAGAGAAACTCCAAGAACCAGCTTAATGAAAACTAGAGTGTCATAATTCGCTTTTGATGTTGGTTGGTCTCTTCATTGAATAGCAAGCATGTGGCATCTGTACGGATAATTAATAACAAAGTGTGGACTAACTATCAGATCAAGCATCAGAGGATAAGAATACATGATCCATTTTGCAAAGATCAGTACAAACAATAGATCGTCTAAAGAAATACATACTCGAATCTTCAGCATCTTCATTTCGAACAAGCAACACGGGTGGCAAGGGAAGATCTGAAACAACAACGCAATCATGTGGAAACCAATTCAGACATTGAATCCTTAAAAAAGCGGCAGTACATATGCATTTACCAAGTTGATGCCAAGTGAGAGCAAAATCAAGAAACTGAAGGGAGAGGAAAGCAAGATACCATCATTAGGCAGAGTGTCCCTCATCCATTCCTCATCCACAATATCTATGAGTACACCCATGCTTAGTTCCGCCATATTTTTCCCTTCAATTCCACCGCTACCCTACAAAAATGTACAAGCACAACAGTGGAGATGGTTAATTTCATTCTCTTACTTAGGTCTGAACTCAGCCCTCTCGAGATTAACCATAAAAAATTCCACTTCCCCTCCCTTCTCCACCTGGTTCTTGGACGGCATTTAACAGACATTTCACGCAAAAACAACAAAAACCCACTATCTTTTTAAGTGAAACCAAGCGGGACAATACGTCGAACACATAAGATGCAAAGCCGAGACAGAGAACAAAGCACCCGAAATAGCGAACAGACGTGAGTACCCTTTAAAGCTAAAAAAACCCAATCATTATTCCGATTCAGTAGCATAACCAACGAATACAGGAGCAGACAAGAACAAGGAGAAAAGCAGCGCGATGACCATTAGTTTTCAAATGGGTTTTTTCCCAACACAACAGCTGAAAAACAAGAAAAGAAGAGAGGCTGCTATCACCGAAAGAGAGAGAGAGAGAGAGAGAGAGAGAGTGGGGGACAGAGTATCGAGTAGAGTTTCTTGATGCGAAGAATGGCTTACCCAGAAGCAGGAGATGAATCGCTCCAAACGCAGCAGGCGTCGAACCCCGAACGAGAAAAAAATTGAATCTTTAGCTCCCCCGAACCCCAGAATTAGACCAGTTTCATGGGTGGGTCCGGTCGAATTTGAATCGGTCGAAAAGGGATATGAGATGGGCTGGGCTTTTTGATTCGATGAGCGATCATATCTTCTTTCTGAACATGTTGTTCATGAGTCAAATTGCTGGTCTACTTTTGATTTGTCCAAAAAGTGAGTGACAAAGTTCTATACATGGATTAATATTAGATGGGACGATTTTATTTTTTTTTGATTGGCTGAGTTACGGCGGAAAAATTACAATTACGAAAGCAATGAACGTAGTTTCTAATGATAAAAAAAAATAGGACACAAAGGTGATTAACGGGCAGGCGGCCACCAAGGCCCGAAAGGCGAATGAGCGGGCCTGCACCATGCCCTTACATGAGGAACCCCGACCCGACCTGCCCTACTTTGGCCTGAGCTTGACCCGAAAATTTATATCTAATTTTTATGTTTTTTTTTTTTTTGGTCGAAATCTAATTTTTTATGTTAAAAGGGCATACTTGGAGGATATATTAAGCTCGACCTATGGTCTCGGCCTATCCAATGATCACTTATTATGGAGAGAGTATTTCCCTCTATCGTCGTGCTTGGGAATAAAAGATAGAAGGAATGCAAAATACAAAAAGAAAAAAAACCATATAAAATCGGTCTAATGTAACTAAGGCCAATAAGACCGCTTTGCTTAGAAATTAACTTCAAAGGTATTAGGTACAATTTTCAGTCACTACTTGTGATTGTGAAAAAAGAGCGTTTTGGTCTTTGAAAGATATCTATAATTGTTTCACGGGTGTCGTGGGAGAGTCGTCCCAACCAAGTGTTCAGAAGCTAGTTTCAAAAGGGTTGTTGACATAAACCAATGCCGTCCCACACACGTCTTTAGGGTTCTCAACGTGCGACACCATAATTACAACGCAGTTCAGCTACAAAACAATACCAAGCGAAATCACATCATTTTCGACATCACGCTCACTCTAATTAAACTATCACCACAAACGATCATCACAGACAGAGAAAAAAAAAAGTCACCTCTTCGTCGGCAGCAACCCTTTCGGTGCTAAGCAAAGGCACAGTAATTAAACCGAGATTAGCTCTTGATTGGTCCCCAACAGCTTTAGCCAACCCCCTTTTTGGAAAGTAAATCTCAATGTCATACCTCGAGTTAGCTAAGCTGAACGTAATATAAAGTTGACGTGCGTGTTAATTTATGCATGTTAAACGCCCAACTGACGTCTCTTTCTCGTAATAATGCCTTAAACTACTCATTTTCCTTAAACCACTCATTTTCCCCCCCTTTATTCGCTTGGACCAACCAATAGATAATTTCTATACATCAATATCACAATATTTTTCTATTGTATATTGTGAATCGCAAGTGCAATTAATTTTTCATCTTCTTCTGTCATGCAATGACATTGATTTGACCCGTTTTTGGCCTTTAGGTCCCCATGCAATCGGTCATCCGTAAATCCGATATAGATTCATTAAAAGAAATGGACAGAAAATTACTTTCCTGACATCATCGAGGACGTCAGCTGCTACTTTTACCTTTATTTGCTCTAAAATTTTTTTTTTTTTAATTACCTTTGTTCTGGTGCTGAATTCACCAGGTGTCGGTCTGGGGTTCGATATGAATTATAAAACCACCCTGCACTAATGGCCGTCCGCGTGAGAACCTTTTGAGCTAGATCAGCTTCAATCCAAGTTTTAAGAATTACATCTTCTGAAAAGGTTCCTTGGAAAAGTGGAAAGTTCCGATTCTCATTCCGCACATAATTACAAACTTTTTCGTCCGTCTCAGATGAAGGTAGGTGGGAAGTAACCATTAGGGGTGATCGGTTCCCGGTTCGATTCGATTTCAAGGTGAAATCGAAAATCGGACCAAGAGAACCGGTTCCCAATTTTGGGAACCGCGGACCGAACCGGTTGGTTCTAAGACTAGGAACCGGACTGGACCGCCAATCCGGTCCGGTTCCGATCCGATCCAATAGAACCGGTCACTTAGAGTTTAATTTTTTTTTTTTTGGTTAAACACTTAAGGTTTGGTTCACATTTTACTAATTTTTGTCAATGAAATTCACTTAGGGTTTAATTCACATTTTACTAATTTTTATCAATGAATTTATGATAATAAAGTTCACTTAGAGTTTAGTTCACATTTTATTAATTTTTTTAAAGAAAAAAATAACAAATATATATATTAAATAGTCGGTCCGGTCCGATCTAGTTCTCCCTTGGAACCGGGAACCGGACCGCCCGGAAACCGATTCCGCTTTTAGGAACCCGGAACCGAACCGATAGTCCCGAGAACCTGACCAAACCCGTCGGTCCGGTCCGGTCCCGGTTTGGGCAGTCCAAGTTGCTCACCCCTAGTAATCATGTGGTGGAGCGGTTCTAACTTTGAAATTCATCTATCTTTCCAAAAGCTTACCTGTTCTCCATTTCCCAAACTCCATATCGCTCTTTCCTCTATAGTCGGCCATACATTAACAATTGCTTTCCATAACATTGAATCACCAGGTTTGGCATAAACAATATTTATTTGTTGTGAACAGTATTTAGCTTGCGAAACCCACGTCCATAGCCTTCAATGGGAAAGATACTTTAATGTGGGAAGGTAAAAACATTGAATCTTTCCCTGCTAAGTCAGCATATGAAATTATCAAAGGGATCAAGAAACTGACAGGATATGGCCCCATATATGGCAGTAGAGGGGGACCTCAACGTATTAAAACCTTCCTTTGGCTAGCGGCACGTGAGCGTTTATTAACCAATGAATTGAGGGCGTCTCACAATCTGGGAGGTAACCCTTACTGTTTGCAATGTAAATACTACTGGCCTCTCATTTTGAGTTCAAATTACATCATATTTTTCGGAAAGGCAATCGGCTTGCTAATAGGCTTACCAATATTGGCATAGCGAAGCGATTGAATACTACATTCTACTTACAACTTCTTAGAGAATTATCTCAAGTTTTGTTTAGTGATAAAGTTGGGATTACAGACTTAAGACTTTAATTTACTTAGCTTTGTACCTTATGTTTACCAAAAAAAAAAATCAGCTCCAATCAAATTAATTAAAAGAAATTGCTTATCAACGTTTTATTTGTTGAGGGAGACTATTCTAGACCGAGTTCGCCTCAAAGTCGCCATTATCGGTATTTCCTTTATATTTATTTCCGTCCGTCCAATCAAATCTTTCAATCAAACAAGCGAGAATACATAAATTAATGTGAATACTCACTTAGAGGAAATAATCAAAAAAAAAAAGTATGTGGAACCGACGTCAAATTATCATGGAACATCATGGAATGGACAAAGGATTTGGCATTGCACACGTCTTTAATCCTTATTTTAATTGTCTCATCTTTTGTGTTAATAATAGGATAAGTCTTATCTAAAACTTTTTTGGGTGGGTCATGTTGATCAATTGAGAGAAAAAAAAATAAATGCAAGATTAGTCACTTTGGTTGCACCAAATCAAGACCATGGAATTCCTTAATGGATGCTCATGGAATTGATAGTTCTTCGAAACCTATGATAAACAAAATTTTTCAAGTGACCAATGAGTTCATCCGTGACATCTTTAGTCCCCTAAAAAAATTGAATGATAGTGTGGAAATCTGGATGGTGCAGATCATGGATATGATTGGTTAGGGAATGCTTGGCGAATGGTTTCTACACACTTCGGGAAGTATAATATACGACCTAACGCTGAACTCATGAACAAGGAAATGCATTTCAATTGCATGACAATGGCTAAAAAAACTATGTTGCTTCAATCAATTGAGTAGAAGTTGTTCTCAGGAGTATTTTAAATGAACTGGGCTGTGTTTTCTTCGGTATTCCCCAGGGTCGGCGCAATCGGTTTGGATGTTGACAAAATGTCCAGCTTAGAAATGAAGGTTGTCTATCCAAATCGCACCAACCGTGTGCAAGCTATTCTGGATCAATGTCACTATTTTAGAAAAATAGTATCACTACTACATTTTAGGTTTCGTGGGCAAAGTTTTAGTCAATACTATCTTGATGAATGCCATCTAATTAATCACCGTCCTCTCCAACATCCAGTTTTGACCAGAGTTATATTGTGGAGCAAATTACTCAAATCAGAAAGCTTAGAACGCAGCTTATGACATGAAATATAGTTTAGCAGTTCCCACATACTAGGAGCCTACTATATTTCTCACGTATGGATCCAAATTTTATCGTACGTAGCATTGGCATTTAATGATGATTATTCCTATGAATTATAGTCTAGATCCTTAGTTTAGGGGTTTGAAGGTACTGGTTGTCTTCCTGGAATATAGTTATTCCATAGTTAATTATCCTACTTCTATAATTCATACAAATGGAAGATGCAAGGTTAGATCAGAGACACCCAATAGTTATACCCGAGTTAGACAAAAGGGACTTTTACACATAATGAGACACAATGGTCTATATTCAATTCTTGATTGGCAAAAGGTCGATTCTCGAGATCGGATCATAAAGAAATAGTTAACTCCCGTGATCGGACTTTCGAATCTGGACAGGCGTGAAAATTCTGTTCCTAATCAAGTCAATCGGTATGCCAAAACCTAATGCACGAAAGCTTGAAGAAAAAAATCATCTGATCGCCAAGAAGGAATAAAAGGTAAGGTAAAAAGATCGCGTGTTTCTAACATTCTATTCATCACGATCTGTTTACAGAACTCGGGCTTGAGGATGATCCTGGTGCTCTTGACATTGACTAATGCCAGACGAGTTTACATAATTCAGCTTTCTTTTTGCTTGAGAGGATATTGGTAGATTAGGTTTATACTAAAAGGCATAATTGTCATTATATTGTTTTTAGTCCTAAACTCTATGTATATATATTGTGAATTGTTTCATCAATGAAAGCAACGTTTGCCCAAACTCTACATGGTATCATAGAGGCGATCTTCGAAACTCGTCTCTCACGTCCTTTGAGCAATATCTAGTCCTCCTCTGATTCGGTCAGATTGATTCGCCGGTGTGATTTGATTTCTCGGTGTCGTCGCTGCTTCCGTCCGGCGGTCTGGTTTTGCTTTCTCGTTGAAATTCTCAAGACCTTGTTTGCCG